ATACATTTTTTTCAAACTGGTAAACTGATTGACAGCCCTAATTTGAACATTAGAATAATGCATATGTCATGTTTTAATGCCATTCTATACAAAATATGAATTGGCAGACAGTTCATGTCCAGAAGACCATCATCCAGTTAATCCAACATCAATATGAAAACACAAACACACGGCAGTGATGGGGGAGTCACAATTTCATCATGACTATATTGATGATCAGAGCATCAGAAAACAACATTTAATAAACAGACAATGTTATCAAATTCACAGAAATGAATTGGTGTATGCTTTAAATTCACAAATTATCCCATGGCCAAGCATCTTACGTGAGTTTTGCAGAAATCAAGGGTTTTAAGGCTAAACACTGCAGGCAATAATGTTTTTTATGCACATAAATTGAGATTATTATTTTTTTTATAATTTTTCTAATGTACAGGGTTGGGTTATGTACAGTTTTATGAGCTTTGGCTTAAAATATATACTTAAAATGACTACTTTTAAAAACTGCTGGCTCAAAATTAGATGACAAAAATGCTCAATGTAAAGTTTGTAAAACAACTATTGAGCAATCAGATAGGAAAGGAGCACTTTACAGCCACACAAACTGTAAAGTACCAAATTGTCCGTTGTAAATTGTCCAGTGTTGCTCTTGCAGTGGCTATTAAATTCATGCAAAATGATATTCAAGCCTAAATAATTTTAATATTATGCAAAGCACAACAGTGGCCTGTTTCCATTCATTATACAGGTCATGGAAATTCTGCTTTTTTTAGTTAGGGATTTTTTATATTTGGCTTAAAGTGGGAGCCCTGAATTTCAAATACATTTAATAATAATAATAATAATAATAATAATAATTCCTTACATTTATATAGCACTTTTCTGTGTTTCTTCAAGTGTTTCTTGTGTCTGTATATTTCAAATAGAATACATATTTATGAATGTTATTTTCTCCAAATAGTTTTGCTGTTTATTTCTGGAATCATGAAGTTAATTGAAAATTTCCAAAATACCCTTTGTTGACACTTAATAATAAACATTTAAAATAAATAAATAAATGAAATAAGAATTTTAAGCCTGTCTTCATATTTTGTTCAGATTTCAGTGCTAGAAATGTATAGAAATTAGCATGTATATAATGAAGAAGTTTAATTTGATTATTTACACAATATATTATTTATAAGTGTGAAATTCTTAATGTACTTAATCAGCTATGAGGTTAACCGTTAGTTGGTTTTTTCATCTGCAGTGTCTTGCCTTAAATCTTGGAGCGAGAGAAGGAATGGCCTGAATCTTTTATTCTGTCTCCGTTGTTGACTTTCCATTGACTTTTGCTCTAGATTTAGCCCCCCTGTGACGCAGTCTTGGGTTACAGTGACCGTATAAGAACAGGCGGATCCACACAACACCTGTCAGCAGAACCCCTGAGTCACACAGCATGTATGGAAATGTGCCTCGTCCCGCTGCCCTGTGTTATTAAGCAGGACATGACATGACTTTGCCTTTCAAGCAGAAGGAGAAACGTGTTGAATGCAGGGAATGAGAAAGGCTTTGTTAAAAGCACTGAAAGCTAGTAATTGTATCGTATTCACTAGTTGTAATTCTGTGGAGAAGGGGAAAAAAGCTTGAGTTTTAAACCTTGCAGTACTTTGAGTTGTCTAACTAACCACTACCTGGGTGAATTAACCATATTTATTATGTATTTTGTTATTTCAAAAGACAATAGTCCGCATATGACCCCTATGAAATCAGAAGTGATATTAAACATCATGTTTATTCAATTTAGAGCTTTTGCTTTGCTTTTTAAAAATGCTGTTTATATACTATATAAATGGGCAATATATTGATTGTCTATATAATTAGGATGACATGCAATTAAACAGGGTTGAAAATCTTTGCAATAACCTATATTTATTTATGGTGGTGGTATAAAATATTCAGTATAGCAGTAGATAAAAATACTTGAAATCATCAGTTGTTGCTTGACACAAAGGACACTGTTTCGTGAACCTATTATGTCTAATGACTGGCTACAGTTAAATCAATAGTTCAACCAATTGCATCAAAACTTAATGCAAAAATATATAAAGGCATCATGAATTTAATCCAGATGGAATCAAATGAATCTCTTGAATCCAAGTGGCCTGACAAAAAAATGTGGTCATATTACGCGATGAGCAGATTTAATTTATCTTGATCGTTTTATTTCATAAATAACCTGAAAGTATTAGTTCACTCAAAAAATGTCAATTCTGTTTTTAATTACTCGCCCTCATGTTGTGTCAATCCCCCGAGACTTTCTTTCATCTTCGTAACACAAATTAAAGCATTTTAGATGAAATCCAAGAGCTCTCTCATCCTCCTCAGATGTCCAAAAAAGAAACCAAAAGCATTGTCAAAGCATTCAGTGTGTTTCAATGTGACTTCAGCGGTTCAACTGTAATCATATGAAGCTCCAAGAACACTTGTAAAAACAACTGTAAAAACCACTTGGTTTGCCTACATTTTCCCTGTCAGATTAGGGTGAGTTTATTATGGGCAATATGACGCCTCCTTGTTGAGCTGCTGACTCTAATTCTCCACTGAGTGGTACGGTACAGTACAGTTCGGTTTGGTACGCTTTTATGGCCGTTTCCACTGTCAAAAAGCGTACCGAACCAAACCGCACCATACCACTTTTTCGGTCAAGTGTCTCCGTCATCTGATCCATTCAGAAAGAAAAGGACAAGCGCGTGAAGAGTGAAGCGCGGAAAAATACACAGGAGCAAAATTGTTTTAGCAACCTGAATCATGAACAAACTGCCATGTTTATCTTTACCTTTTGGACTATTATGAACTGGAAATGTCAAAATGACTCTCTTAACAGAGCTTACATGTGCTGCTGAAGATTACAGACTCAGATCAGATGAGAGGTTTGCGCTCACTGTGGGCTATATTCAATAAGTACTCAAATAAGTACTAAATGTATCATGTGTGTATTTTTTCTGTAATGAATAATATATCAGAGACTGTAAGGGGTTGTATGCGTTCATATATGTTGCATTTATATATTTATTTTATATAATTACAGACGTTACAGTAGGCTATTTTGCACTGTCATTGATCTGCAGTTATAATCAAATCATGTTCATAGAAAAGTTAGTAATAAACATTTATACAGAATTATTTGTGTTTAAAGCATCTGTTTTGTGAGAAGTGCTTCTCATATGATAACTTAACGACTCGTACAGCTTTACTGTAGACAATTTCTCGAGGAGCATGACGTTGACTTAAACTTTGTCATACACCATGCCCACCAAAAGGGTACCCTTTGTGGTGAAAACGCAAGCCTGATAAAGGTACGGACCCGAACCGTACCATGCCATGCCACTCAGTGGAAACAAGCCATAATGGCTGTACGTCCTACTGCCTGTAGTAAATGCACAACCTGACCTGTCAAAGAAGACAAGACAAAGGTGAAGTTTATTGCCTTTTATAAAAATGTTCTTGGAGCTTCAAATGCTTACAGTTGGATGATTGAGTTCACATAGGTTTTGACAATGTTTTTGGTTCCTTTTCTGATTTTTAACATATGATAGTGATGAAGAAGCCTTTATTTGTCACAACACTACATGTTACATGCAGTGACATTGGACTCCACGAACCATAAACAAACATTAAACATTTCAGAGCAAGATAGGTCTGTCATGAGGTACCTTTTTATAGAAAGAGGAAGTAAGCTGCATTAGGGAAAAATAATTTGTCTGGAGGATCAGAGAGGTCTCACGATAATTCTAAAATATCTTCATTTTCTAAAACCATATAAAGTGGTCGTTCTACTTCAGAAAAACTACTTTTTTGTTCTTCAATTGAGGGCAAAAAAAGTTTGAACTGAGCAATGCTGAGTAACGGTATATTCTATTCAAACAGAAAAAAGTGGGACCAAGATGGACAAGAACATACTGATTCTGCTCAATTAATCAAATATGGACCAGAGAATTTTACAGAACTGTAAAAATAATTATTACCAAAACAAAAACATTCTGAACATGTACATTAATAAAAACATTTTTAGAATGGTTTGAGTCTATTATTATAAATAAGAAGGCTGCTGAAATTCTAATATAATTACAAAAAATAAATAAATAGTGCGTGCTGCAGTAATTGGAGGCATCAAATGGCATCGCCACTTTGTGCAAACTCTAAGAAAAGATGCGACAATGTGGGCTTCCTTTCTGCTGTGTAACCCCTTTAAAATCTCTCTGCGACTGGTCACACAGGTGCGGATATATCCGTACCAACTATGCTACCCCTCTACAGTGTATTCATGTGGCTAGTGGTATTGTTTTAGATGTTGTTCTCCTGTCTGACCCCCTGGGAATGAGAAATAAATCACACGTCAAAAAAAAAAAAAGTTCCCAAACAAACCTGCATATTTCGAAATCGCCACAGACCAATGGCAGCTTTGGTGTGCTGTTTCAAACAGCCAAAACAAATTCAAAATATACTTAGTTTAAAATTACTTCATTTCAGTTTGTTCCACGGTTTGGTTTGAAGTATACCGGAGCCCTTAATGTATCATCATGAGCCACTGGTATTAAATTTGTTTTGCCTTTTATACATTTATTTTTGCAAACAAAAGCCACCTACTTCTTTAATGCCCTGAGGGTAAGAGAATTAATGGCTAATTTTTCATTTGGGGTGAACTATCCCTTTAATAAAAGCTGATTTTTTTCAGTGCCACATAGCCACATCTGAGGCATACTATCTGTTTACTGTAAAAACAGTTGTTTGAACACTTTAATATGCACCAGTGTATTTTCTTGCTTTAAAATAAGATCAAAGCCGCACACTAAACCATGCTTGTGATTTCATGGGGTCTTTAAAGAAATGATTATTGCAAGAATAACAAAATACATTCTGGCAAATATTATACCCCTAGCTCCCCCCTGAGTAATCAAATCCAGTTTGTACTGTTTACTGTAGCTAACTCTGTGATTTGGCCTGTGCTGTGGCTGCAGGTGGGCTCGGTGGTGGCGGTGGGCTGGATCCGCTCCAGGAAGGCCGTGGACTGGCGTCTCTTCAGAAACATCTTCCTGGCCTGGTTCGTCACCGTTCCTGTAGCAGGCCTGTTCAGCGCCGCTGTCATGGCCTTGTTCGTCTATGGCATCCTGCCTTACGTTTGAGAAGGAGAATTTGGGATATGAGAGAGAGGTATAGGAAGGTAATGGCGAAAAGATAAAACAGAGACGGAAAAAAAATATATATACGTCAATATAAAAGCCAGAAAGTGAAGAGAGAGAGAGTTTTTAAATGCTGCCTGGAAAAAGCATCCAGAATCCTTTGACTTAAATATCCTTAATCTTTGTCAAGAGTATTTATTTCCATTTCATTTTTACTATCGTTTCTGTTGAAATGTTACCATAAAGCGTAAGATATTTGACTCAGTGATATCAAAAGGTACAAAAACACACTAAACAGTATCTGTGGGTCCTACAGCTTCAAGGGAGTAAACAGAGCTGCACATACAAATACAGTGCATTTATAACTTACAATTGCCAATCACTGGCGCAATTCCCAGTATATCAGTGCAAAATCCAGTCTCCTAGGCCTCTAAATGCTTGTGGAGTGTTATAAACCTAAACATATCGCTAATTCCGTTTGCTGAAAAGTCAAACTTCTGTCGAAATGACACTGAAAGCGTCCTGCTGTTCAATACTTTAGCTAAAAAAGAAAATCATACCTCAGCTAACCCACTATGCCACACAAAAGACGAAACTGTGCTATCTCATAACGTTACATGAGTCATTTTTCTAGTGGTCATAAATCCCTGTTCTTTCATCGTCATATTTATTTTTCTGGATATGTTATCATTCATACCTTTAAAAAAAATACATAACACAAGGTGTGAAGATGAAATCATGTTTTGACTACGTATGCTACTTTAATTTCTACTGTGTGTATATGTATATATATTCGACTTTGAGTTTTCGGACTTATTCTGAGGTCTTCTAATGTTACGTTTAAGGAGGTTTTGGTAGTTGCATGAAACGGATGCTCTTCCAAGCATATCGAAATGATCAAATATTTTTAAATTTACTTTATGACAAGACGCTACGTTCATAATCCTTATCATTGACTCCCTTTTAAGGTATCGGTGGATATTATTGTTTAAAGACATAAAAAAGGAACATATCTGAGGTATTTTAAAATAAAAAATCGATACACATCAATGAATCAACCTGATTTTTATGAAAAATAAATAGCCAAAGATGATTATGTTTGAGTGGAATTGCCATACTCCTTGACAGTGTTTTTAATAACAACCTAAATGATGTGCAGAGTATATAAAGGATGCTAGAAGCTCAGTTTTAGCGTATATTGTTATTAGAGCCCATGATGCCAATTCTTAAAAAAAACAAACCTGTATGTGCAGAGACAGCCAAAATCCCACATCAGCCAGCACAAACGTATAAGAAATATCCACATATATGATGTTTTGGAGTAAACGCCGGCCTGGTCAATCTCATATCAGCATCCGATTACTTGAGTCAACCTCGCTGATAAATCGATTAATGTTATCAGAAGAGGAATTAGTTGAACATCAGGTCAATATGTGATTCAGTGGTGCGAATGAGTCAAGAAATGAAAGGTCAGTATGTAATGATCTATTTGTGGCACAAGAAACCAAAAAAATCTCATGAATTCAGTCCAAAAAATACAAAAGAAAGATTAAATGACCATGTTTTATCAGGTGAAGCAGGCTTTATCAATACGTTCAGCCTTGTCACCAGATTTGGAAACTGTACAAACGTGTGGCTTTTGAACCAATGCAAAGTGTTGCTGTTTCTTCTTCTTTTATTATTATTTTTTAGTGTATTACTTTTTCATCAAGAACAAATCTATGCTTAATATGGCCATTTGCCTTGTAATGTTGTGCTTTACTGTTTGTTGGATACAGTAACTTCAGTACTGTGGTGTTTACATTGTAATCATATTGTAGAATAACTCATTGCAGTTGCCTAAAAAAACAACAACTACAAAATATGCCAATCAACTAACTATTAATCACAAAATTAATATGAAATAACCAGGCGTCGTGCAAAGGTGTTTCATGTCAGTTTGTGTTTTTAGCAGTGTGAACCTTCATGATCCTGTGTTACGTCGCACTGCTGTTATGTAGTTACACAACTTTACATGGTGGATATGATTCAAAAAAAGAAATGAATAGATATATAAATTTCATTAAACTATATTTTTCTACATATATAAGTTCTACCTGGGTGGCGAGTTCTCACGCGGAGAGGCTCCTGAATGCTATTGTAAGGAAATTCGGTGCTAAAAACCACTGAATTTCTTTTTTCCTTAAAGATCTGAACTGTTCTAGCAGAGGTTGGGGATGTGGATTGGTTCCATAAATCCATTGTTGTTCTTTTTCCTTGCCCAGGGATGTCTCTCCTTTTGTGTGTGAGAGAGAAGAGAGAGGTTGCGAGTTGTTAAAATTCAACAAGTTTTTCATGATTGTTTTTTTGGACAAGTAAGGTTGAATAACTTTGTAATTTTGTTTCCCTGAAATGCAATACTAAGCAGCCAGACTGTGGTCAATCGCACCTTCACCAGCAGCGGCGACACCAATGTTTAGAGTCTGTGGAAGCTTGCTACCGACACGGAATAAAATTGAGGAAATGCAACTATTATTTGGTCGTTTTGCTTTACAGGTTTGACTGAACTCAAAATCGCTAGTTTTCACTGAACATTTTAAAAGTAAAGAAGTCTGAATAGTGTCTAAAAAAAGACCTAAATGATTGTGAGTTTATATGCAGTAATTTGTATAATTTTTAATACGATCTTGTACGTAAATTTGCGACGATTAAATTGTAAATGTGAAATGATTCAATCCTGAATAGCAAAGAATTGAGTTTATATTTTGCTGTTCTGTTTTTTTTTTTCTCATAACTACAAGATATAAACATTTCTGCGAGGAAAACGTTTAAATTTCAAGATCAAAATGACAAAAAAACAAGAAAGTTATTTTAAAAAATTCAAAAAATTCAAGCTTATGTCCAGCAATTCAGAACTAAGAATAGCAAGAGTTTATATAGAAATAGACCAATAAAGTCTGAATAGCAAGGAATAAAAATAGTTTCTATTTCATGGTTCAGATTGTGTTTTTTTTTGTCTTAGATTTCTGAGTCAAAATGACTAGAAACAATTTGTTATTCTCAAGTCAAAATTCTAGTTTTTTTTTCTTTCTTTTTTTTTTTTTAATTTTCAAGACCAATAGATTCTGAATAGCAAGAAAAAAAAGAGTTTATATTTTGTAGTTGAGATGGATTTTCTGCAAGATACAAGGTGACTTTTCTGAGAGAAAAATAGTCAGAATTTCAAGATGTGAACCCATTATGTGATTAAACTCAAAACAACAAGGAAAAAGCTGGAATTAAAGAACTCAAAATTGCTTGTTAAAAAAATTAATGCAGATTTGTGAGTCAGAATTGTTAAACGACAAAAAACTATTTAAAGTTATTAAAATTCTCAACTGTCTAAATTAATAACTAAGTATAGCAAGATTTTATTTAGAAACTTGAGAATAAAATTGCAGAATTGCAAGGAAAAAAATCTTCTATTTTAAGTTTCTATTTTGTTGTTCAGATTGTGTTTCTGAGAACTGCAATAAAATGACATTTCTGAGAAAAAAATAGATGTGAACCCATTTTGTGATCAAAATGAAAACAACAAAGAAAAAGTTGGAATTAATGACCTCAAAATTGCTAGTTTGTAATGCAACATAAAAACGAATGCAGAATTGTGAGTCAGAAATACTAAACGAGTAAATTCTGAATAGCAAGGAATAAATAATTTTGACTTTATATTTTGCAGTTCAAATAGTTTTTTCTCAGGTTTGCAAAAATTTATAAACATTTATGAGAGGAAAATATTGGATTTCAAGATGTGATTAAACTCAAAATGACAAGAAACTACACATTTTCGCAATTCTCAAAATCAAAAATTCTATTTTTGTTGTATTTTTATTTGACAATTTTTAAATAATAAAAAAAAATCCATTTGAAATCCAAAAATGTTTGTCCAGCATTTCATAACTAACCATAACTATTTTATACAGAAAATCAGAATTGCAAGACAGTAAAGTCTGAAAAGCAAGTTCTTTTGTAGTTAGTTTGTAGACTTGCTGAGAACTGCAAAATATAAACATATACAACAGACTTTTTGAGAAAAAAAGGTCCAAATTTGAAGATGTGAACCCATTTTGTGATTAATTTCAAAACAAAAAGGAAAAAGTTGAACTCAAAATTGCTAGTTATTCATTTTAAAAGGGTCATTTTTGAGTTAGAAATGCTAAACCAATCAGTTCTGAATTGTAAAAAAATTATTCTGACTTTATATTTTGCAGTTCAAATAGTTTTTCTCAAAACTCCAAGATATAAACTGACATTTGTGAGAAAAGATTTCTGAGAGCTGTTGAGCCTATTTTGTGATTAATCTCAAGTTTGTATTCAGCCGTTACATTTTCCCCTTCAGAATTGCAATATATAAACTTGGAAATGTCTAATGTTGACATTATACCTTCTTTTTATTCTGAGAAGTAACAATCGTGAGATTAAACTGAGCATATTTAAACTTAAAATTGTAAAGGTAAAAATGCCATTCCATTAGACACCATTACATTATTATTATTATATTATTATTCTGTGGCTGCAACAAGCTTCCATAAGAGTCAGACGGGGCACAGCAAGATCAAGTAAAACCTTTTTTCTAACCTGCATGCGATACTTTGCATCAAACTAGAGATATAATCTGCCTTTCTTCTATGAATTGGTTTGTTTTATAGCAGCACACCAGCAAAATATTTCACATGCGCAGTAGAAAAAAAATATGCAAGTACAGTATGTCAATGCAGACGCTCAACCAACAAACATGCACACTCAGATTACTCCAACCAAAATTCAACATGGAACAAACAACTAAACACTGGGCTGCTGTAGTTTGGCCGTAGAGAGTTATGACTTCCATATTGAAAGAATGGCACATTAACCGCCGGTTTAGATCTAAAACACCGGTGTCATTCTGAGATGCACATGCTGTGATTGGACAAATCGGACTTGTGCAAACAGAATCATCCATATCCACATCCAGTGTGTTGATAAAAGGTTTCATAACTGTTCCTGGCAGCCTAGTGACATTCTCCTGTAGTGTGCTAATATGGTTTCTAAGTTTCCATGCTCTTATCTGCACTTGAAAATAGAATGTAGCCCAATCCTCTGCTGATTGCCTGCTGCGTGTCGTCTCTAATGCCATGATGTGAATGCTATGCTGTTTTACTGTCTGGTATCATCTGAAAGACAGGGCTTTAGATTTAACAAACAACCCCCCTCCTATCCGCATATGTACTGTATTGCTGTTTTCTTTCTTTTTTGGAACTTTTTTTGTGAAAAGTTGTCTGCATTTGAACTAATTAAATTATGGGAATTAAAATTACAAAGAATAACAAGATCTGATCTCCTGTTGTGATTTGGGGATTGATGTTTAAGTGTTGAAGTGTGTGTTTTTAATGATCAGTGTGACCCCACCGGTCCAATGCCACCCAACACGCTCCGAGCTGGGATTGAACCGGTGACCTTCTGCATGGGAGTCGGTTGCTCTAACAAGGAGGCTAAAGACCATTGCCTCTTGCGTCTGAACAGCTTTAGAGGTCAGAGGAGTGAGGTCTACCTGCACAGCACTCAGTAGCTGGCCTCTGTTACACCAGCTTGATGTAGACTGACATATTGTAGATTCTGTGTACACCTGCAATTAAAGGAAGAGCTTTTTTTTTTTAAATACAATTTTCTCACTATCTACTCACATAAGTTGAATTCTGTTGAATGTTGAGAGAAAAAACAAACAAAACAAAAATCAAACCAGAAATCTTGTGAATAAATTACTGTTTCCATGTAATGATTCAAAGGAAGCTAAATAGTCTCTTCCTGAAAAACTAGCTCAAGATATCAAAAAGAGAAATGAACATTGCTGTGCTAGGAGAAGCCACTGTGAGCTTTCTTATGTTTACAATAAATAACTCGTGCCTCAAAAGGTGAAGGTGAAACGAAATGAACATGTGCTGACTTGGAGGTGCAGAACTGCTCTTTTGGACCAGAGAACTAGACCGTTCTGGGAGGTGATTACACTGAAGCACTCTGATGTTTGGTTGAGGGATTTTAGAATGAGAAGAACTTTAATGTGTTTGTCTATTAATCCCACTGCACCCATTTTAATTTTCTAAAAGTAAACTGACATGACTTTATAGATGTGGATTCTGAAATGTATTTTGTAAATGTGTTTTTATTGTAGTTTATCCTACTCGTTTTTTGCGCATAATTTATGTACATTTTTCACACAAAAAAATAATGATTATTATATTTATATATATATATTTTTTTTTTTTTCTCCACACTGGTGGAAAGTCTCTTCCCATCTTAATAGGACAGAACATTCATTTTTACAAAAGACAAATTTTAGCTTAATTTTTAGTTTAGCTTTGCATATATCATTGAATTAGATCAGACCATTAGCAAATTGCTCAAAAAAAAAAAAAAAACTTTTAAAGAGATAATTTCCTGTTTAAAGTGTAACTTTTAGCTGGTTTCATTGTGACTGGCGGAAAATGAAAAGTTGTGATTGTGATGTGGTTACAATCTTTGGTCACTTTGTTTTGATGGTTTGTTTGTTGAATTTAAGTTAGATTGCATCTACATGCTAACTAATTCTCATTTGATTATAAGTAGACTGTTAGCTTTGGGGTAGGGTTGGCGTAAGTTGACATGTATTTGTAAAGTTTCTAATAGTCAGTTAAGTGTTAAAGAAGCAGAATCAACAGATATTAAGCAGACAGTTTACTAATACTTAAATGGACCATCAAGTGTTACCGGAACTTTACACTTATTCCTGTATAATACTGGGAAAAGGAACACTGTTACTAGTTACCCAGCAAGGGACTATTTTCAGGCACTGCATGCTATTATTGCACCTGCTGCAGCAGTGGTATAGCAGCGAAGTATCTTAATTATTACGCTAATTGAGTGTGTAGTTTATAAACATTCATTTTCTTTTTGGCTTAGTCCAGAGGGGTGAAACTCAGTTCCAAAAGGGCCGAAGCCCTGCACAGTTTAGTTCCAGCCCTGCTCCAACACACTTTCCTGTAGGTTTCAAACAAGCCTGAAGGACTCGATTAGTTTGATCAGGTGTGTTTAATTAGGGTTGGAACTAAACTGTGCAGAGCTGCGGCCCTTTTGGAACTGAGTTTGACACCTGTGGCTTAGTCCCTTTACCACAGTCGAATGAACCGCCAACTTATCCAGCATATTTTTATGCAACAGATGCCCTTCCAGCTGCAACCCAGTACTGCAAAACACACATACATTCTCATTCACTCACTCACTCACTCACTCACACAAACACTACAGTCAATTTAGCTTACCCAATTCATCTATAGTGCATGTCTTTGGACTGTGGGGGAAACCCATGTGAACACATGGAGAACATGCAAACTCCACACAGAAATGCCAACTGAACCAGCTGGGGCTCAAACCAGTGGTCTTCTTGCTGTGAGGCGACAGTGCTACCCACTATGTGACCGTGTCGCGAGTTTAAAGCCATATTGCCTGAAAAAGTAGCAACTTTTAATTTTTCATCTGTCTTCATGCACAAAGTAACTAGAGAAGAGTCCAGCTTTACCCTCCGAGACATCACATTTGAACTTTTATGTTTTATATTTTGTAACAGACATACAGGGACTTCCTGCAACTGTTTGGCAGCATATGAAATGTCCCAAACACTATTTTAACTGTCCCTAATGGGCAAAAAATGTTTTTACTGATAGTTCAAAAAAAAAAATGTGTGTGTGTTCAAGACAGAAATAAAGTTTTTAAATTACACAAATTCAGACCATGAGTCCACATAAATGGACATTATTTTTCTCTAAAAGTACATCATATCAAAAGATGGTACTCAGGTTTTATTCTAAATAGGGATCAATAAACCAAAATAGCAAAGAGAAATAAAAATGCATGTAAAAAAACAGCTTGGGTCTTAAGAGGTATAGGAAAATGATTTGGTTGTTTTTGAGTGAGATGCTAATGGTCTAATCCGATTCAATGATTTATGCTAAGCTAAGCTTAAAGTGCTCCCGCTAGACCAGACATCGTGTGAATGGATTAAAGAATGATAAAATTCAACTGTTGAAGTAGGTGACATGTAAAAAGAGCCCATTTCCAAAGGAAAAAAAAAAAAAAGTGGTGTTCCTTTAAGTCACAGGTGTCAAACTCGGTTCCTGGAGGGCCGCAGCTCTGCACAGTTTAGATCCACCCCTAATTAAACACACCTGATCAAACTAATTGAGTTATTCAGGCTTGTTTGAAACCTACAGGTAGATGTGAGCAGGGTTGGAACTAAACTGTATAGAGTTGCGGCCCTCCAGGAACTGAGTTTGACACTGTTTGTTTAAGTAGTCTAAATGAACTCAAAGGCAAATCACCTGTGGAAGGCATAGAACCCTAAAAAATTAAATAAACGTAGATATGCTCTACTATATGTCTGTCAAGATGTGGATTTGCATTTTTGTGCACACCATTTACACAGACAATCACATCATCAGTGTGTGAATAGCATATAAACTTGACGGGTCTCAAAGTCTGAACAACCTGTCAAAAGAGACATTTGAATACATGGTCATATCAAGTGAAAATATCATTAGTCTCTGCTGACTGCTGATGGATTGGACTCCCAAAAATATAACAGTACCTATTATGCACTCCTTTTTACATTTTGTAATTTTTAAGTGTCTCTAGAGTCTAATTTTCATATTAATATATCCCACAGTTCAATTATTATTCCATTTCTCATGTTAAGCAAAATTTTCATGTGTCTTTAAATGCAAATGAGTTTCCGCTTCCTGCCCCTTTTCCAGAATATGTTGTCTTTACAGACGGTTCTCTTTGGCATCTTTTTGTGTGTAAACCAGCAAACCCACACACATATAAACATTCATGTTATGAGAGATTCACATAAACACATTCAGTTATGTCTGAGAAAGTCATTTATGTACACCGTGGAGACGCATCAGTGTTCAAACACCCTCTAAAAGTGAATTCTGCAGAAGTAAGACCTGCTGGAAACAGGACCATTGCTGCTGGGGGATAAATCTAGAGGGCCATATTAATTCAAAACATGGATACTTCAGAATAAAAAAGGTTTGTTGTACAAGAGTTAAATGAAGATGCATAAAGTGCATTTGAAGATGATGGGGTTTAGTTTATTTTTATGACTTCGTGGCTCTTGGTCTGAAGATTAAACCTTTCAAAGACACACAGTATTCAACAGATTTTCACTTGGCTAGAAGTACAGTGGGTCTGAAGATTTCTTTATATCCATGCACGCCATCCAAAATGGCAAGTCTTATATGAAATGAAACATTTTTCTAAACAACAGGATTAACTGGAGACTTGATTTTATTGTGAGTGAAAACTTTTTAAATATATTTATCAAAAAGTGCAATTTCTTTCAATAACTTGAACAAAATGACCTTCATTACACACATCGTTTAATGAATTAAGTGTTCATAAAAAAAAGTAGTGAAAACTAAAGTTTAAACTTAACAATTGACATATAAAGTCTTCATTCTTTTGCAGTTCTTTTACTTACATTCAATAAAGTGTTTTAGTTTGAGATTCAGATTGCTCGAGGGAATATGGTCATGGGAGAAATTAGTTGGGAAGGAAAGAATAAAATATTTAGCATTTTCATCAGATGCTTGAAAAATGTGTCTAAAGAAAATGTTTACATGTGTACTTTTTAAATCATTCACCAAAAATATTAATAATATATGTATAATTTGGAATATTTTTCAGAAAAGCTCAAATATGACAGAGCACTTAAATAAAAAATGACATCTTCAGATTTGTAAAAAAAATCTCTTGTTTTTGGAGTGTTTTACAAAAATACATTTCTGGTTGAAATGTGTTTCATTCAGTGTTTCTTTACCCTAAAAATTCTGGGTTGTCATCACTCAACATTGCGTCAAAAATGGACAAACCCTATGTTGGGTTATATTTTTAATTAAATTTAAATTACACTTTTTAACCCAACGGTTATGCTTGACTATATTTGACAAAGTTGGGTTACAACAAACCAGTATTTTTCAGAGTGTATAACCGACTACGCTTACATAGACATCAGTAATCGAATTATTTGCCTTAATCTGAAAATGACAATATGATTAAGGTTTATGGATTATTGATTAATGTCAACAAATTGAAAATGAAACACCCAAATAACATTAACATCAGTTTGGCACTTTCACTTTGCTGTTTACATGGTGGACTCTTGACCAGAGTATTGTTTTAATCAGATTAAATTCGTATTATTGGCGTTCATGTAAGCATACTCAGCGAGTACTAATACGCGCATCCAATATCTCATTGGTCACGGGAGGCATGCATGAAATGTTCCTGAATGAAAGTGCCAAACTGCAGCTAAAGTCCAAACTAAAAACGAAACACCCGAAATGACATGAAACTCTGGAGGAAATGTGGATAGCGTTGTGATGTTAATGGAATTATGTGCTGTAACATATAAAACAGGATCATGAAAGGAATGTTCAAAAAGAAACTGATGCTCATCATATTATTGTCCTATTCAGATTAAGACAGATAATTCGATCACTGATGTCCATGTAAAGTTTGTAAACCTAGTCATTGTTATGTTCACTAGCGATTTTTAAGTGAAAATATTTTTAGTGCACAGAATGAAAAAGTAAATAAATAAAATAGGAAAAAAATCTCAGTTAAAACTGTGCATTTTTGAGAGAGATGGACAGAAGGCTTTAAAGCAGGGGTGCTGGAGGGCCGGTGTCCTGCATAGTTCCAACCACAATCAGACACACCTGGGCTAGTTAATCAAGCTCATACTAGGCTTTCTAGAAACATCCTTGCAGGTGTGTTGAGGCAAGTTGAAGCTAAAATCTGCAGGACACCGGCCCTCCAGGACTGAGTTTGGACTCCCCTGTTTTAATAGGTAACAAAAATTTTCCATAACTATGTCCTCGAGACTCAATTTAACTCTTATCCAAGATCTCAAATCTTTTTTTTTTTTTTTCAGAATACAAATACTTTTTTTCAGAAGCCAATACTTGTGTTTCTCATTGAACACAGAATCTCACCTTCAGATAATAAAAGGACAATCTCAAAAAGCTGTTCACATTCATTCATGCTACCTTAAATACTAACCCTAACGTCTCCTCTACCAGTGTTCCTTATGACATCCATGAGCCTTCACCATCTCAGGGGTTGGAGTTTGTGTTCTGGAAGGTCTGTGGTCGTCCGATACGTTGCAGACATCACTAATGTTGTCTGATTTGAGGTCATCAGAGCTCTCCATGATCTCACTCTGACTACAAATCTGCAGAGCCTGAGAGATAAACACATCCAGGTCGAAATGTTCTTCTCCAGATGGACGCATCTGTGAAGGCTCTTCATAGTTTTCACAACCAATGGAGGAAGACGGATAATTGGAAGAACCGTGATGAGGAGATGAAGGAGATGAAGGCAGCAGAGATGGAGGAGCGGAGAAGAACGGCGTCGGGCTTCTTCTGGATAGAGGACTGGGCAATGTCAGCGGCGCTGGGATCTGAATCTGAGACTGAGGCATCAATGTTGGAGAAAGCGGTAAAGGAGGTGAACATGGAGAAGATGGAGGTTCTTGAGGAGAACCAGGTGAATGGAGACCTGACTGTGTGCTCTCCACCCAACGCGAGATCTCCTGGAAAAGATCTCCAGGTTCGGTCAGAAGCTTCTCTGCGCTGTTTTGTCTTGGAGCAGCCATGCTGTTGTTCCTCCAGTTGGAAAGGTCTAGGATGAGTTTGGGTTCAGAGTAATGCTGCGGCTTTCCTTCTCTCCATGCAATCTTGTCCAGGTAGGATGGAGAGCCCACTTTGTAGTCGCAGGAGCGTCCGCAGTCCAGCTCGCTGAAGTGTCCACAGATGCGCTCCAGGGATGGGTGTGACTGCTCCAGGAATCGCTCTGCAGAGCTGCTGTGGGAGTACTTGCGAGGGTCTACCTGCGCTTCCTCGATGTGGGAAGCTGAACTGGCTCGTGGGTCCCTTTGAACTTCTTCATCTTCAGCTTCTCCGAGTTCTGAGACGCTCTGCATGCAGCCACACTGGTCCTGGGTAGGCCAGTAAACATCTGAGGAAAGACTACTGTCATACCTGAGGAAAAAAAGGCATATGTAGTTTTATTACTGTTTTTATTTTACCAGTAAAGTCATCCTAGAGCACAAAACCTCTTATTCTTATGTTGCACAGGTATATTTTGGGATGAGTCAAAAATGCAATGCATCGATTCTATTGTTTTCCCAACAGTTATTGAAATGTTTGGTAAAGAACATAATCCATGTACAGGACAGACCAAAACAAAACGTATGATTAGTAATGCACCTTGCTAAAACATTTAAAGGTACTTTTCTCAATATCAATTAATATAAACAAATATATATATATATATATATATATATATATATATATATATATATATATATATATATTTGAAACCCTCTGATCATATATATATATATATATATATATATATATATATATATATATATATATATATATATATATATATATGATTTATATAAAATATCTTAAGAATATCTTATACACACACATGTGTGTTTGTGTGAGTGTGTGTGTGTGTGTGTGTGTGTGTGTGTGTGTGTGTGTGTGTGTGTATATATATATATATGTGTGTGTGTATATGTTTGTGTGTGTGAGCGCGTGTATAAGATATTCTTGGTTAAAAAAAAAACAAAAAAGGTTTGCGACTCTTTTATACATTTTTAGACAAAACAACAACAATACCATTTTAGCTTCAGACAAGTGAATACAATTACTTTTTAAAAATTAAAAATATAAACATTAGTTATTTTGACCAGTTGTCTCTTTCTGGGAAACAAAAAGGGTGATGACAATATTTATTTGAGATTTGGAGGGGGAAAAGGTCAGCATTAACATTTTAGTCTAAAAAATATTATTAAAAAAAAAAAAGTAAAATAAAATTACTAATCTAAAAAATGTCATTATATTATCAGAAAATATGTGTTATTTGTTTCTGATATATTATTATGATGTTAATTATTTAACAAGAATGAATTTACATAATCACAAGCCACAGTAAAACAGTGAAAGTGTACCTTTTTAACATTCTATTTATGATTGAATCATGAAGAAAATGTTCAGATGTAAATGTTAGATGTAAAGTTACATCATAAAAAATAAATAAAAAATAATATATATATATATATAATTAATTAATTTAAAAAATTTAGCTTCTTTTCTGACCACTATTGTTGCATCTGTGCTAATGAAAATCACCTGCAGCACACAAGCTCATTTCCATTTAACAGCAGCTTTTATACTCTTCAAAATAAGTCAGTGTGGTCTCTGATCAGTCAAGGCAGATCTTCATACACTGTAAAAAATGCTGACTTCCACACAATTCCACTATGCTGTCTCAACACAAATCTATGAAGTTAGAGTAATTGTTTTAACAAATGTAAGTAGGTTGAACATAAAACAATTAAGTCCCCCCCCCAAAAAAAAACTCCAGAATTGTTTCGTTTTAGATCATTTCAAATAATTAGTTTGACAAAGCAGCTTTTTTTAGTTTATGACCACACAGAAGACAAAGGTGACTTTCTTATTAAGATGTCACACAGCCCACCATGCGATTGAATTATTCAAGGGATTAATACGTTTCTATATTTGAGCCTCACTGGACGTCACCAGCTGCTCCTTTGGGCATTTCAGCAGCCGTCTGTGTAAACTGCCTCATAATGTGACCCTTCTTTTCACTTCTCCAGTGTCGATGTAGCTGCAAACTTTTAACCATCAAACTTTCACCATTAAAGAGGATCAAGAAGGTCTGTGCAGTTTAATTTGAACAACATTGTATTTAGTCCACAAATCTCAGCTTAGACTTTCTAGTTTCACTTTAAAAACACAATCGATTTGTGTTGGAATTAAGTTGGCTTATTAGTTTTTACAAATTTAAATGGATTAAACATAAAATAATTTAGTTGTCCCAATAAAATCTCAAGAATTGTGTTGTTTCAGCTCATTTTAAATGAGTATTTTGAAAAGCAACAAAAAACAATTTGTGTTGCTGGTAATTAACGCTTTATAATAATAATTTGTCTTTATTATAAAATGTCCGTTGTCACTTTCAATTTTTTTCTGAAGCACTGTTTTGTATATAGTTTAAAGGAAGAACTAGTACAATATTTCACATTTGTTTGTGTATTATTATTAAGATTATTCCGACTGGAATACACTTTTAAGAATGTGAAAATGATTTGCATGGTAGCATGTGATTCAAAAGCAGCTTAAGTACTGATTTAAGTTATATGTAGCAGATTCTGGAAAATCTATTAAAACATCCGAGTATGCCATGCATACAGAGAATATGCATACATACATACTGCAGAAATAGTAAGAGTAGCATAATACCCTGGCATTTTGAACATAGCCTGTGTTTGTGTGTGTGTTTGTTTGTACCTGTCCCAGTGTGAGCGGAGCCCGTGAGTGTGAGTGCTCTCAGTCACCAGACTGTCCTCTAGCTCGTCCTCGATGCGGAAGGGCTGCAGAGACACTGGCTCATCCTGAGGACACGAGTATCTCTGCAGAAACGGCTGACACAGAGCTGCTTCTGCCGTCAGACGATCCATGGGGTTAAAGGTCAGGATACTCTCCAGGAAATCAATGGCTGAAACCATCAAATCAATGACAAACCACAGTTACACATGCTGAACACATCTCGCACCTCTTGATTATGAGATTTTGAAGGGGGGAAAAATCCCAAATACATTTTAAACTGTTTCTTTTGTCATACTTTATCAATTTAAGCCTTCCTTTTTGGACATCAATTTCAATAAATAGAATGTTTTCTCTAAATGAGTTTATTCTTTGACAGAAAGCTATATATCTCCACTTCAGCAGCTCTTACACACATTGAACTTTTCATATCTATTCATATCTGTGTTCTAAACATTTTTACTGAAGGATTTGTAAATGTATAATGTTTCTACTAATTATTTCAAGAATTACAGAGTGATAAATATGAGAAAATGCTATTTCTTTCGTAAACATTCTTGACTCTACTATGTCAAAAATTAATTTCAATCCTGACTGCATTCGAAGTTCACATTTCTTTCTAGAAATATATCCAAATTTGCCTATATTTACAATTAAATGTCACCCAACAATTTTAATTCTGATATCATTTAATCTCCTTCCACTGTTTGAGCTTTTTCTTCTGTTGAACACAAAGGTACAGATATACTGGATAATGTTGGGGAAAACCATTTATTTAATTTTTTTGTTTGTTTGTTTCTAGTCTCTTGATGTCAGTGGCCGCTTTTTCCAACATTCTTCAAAATATCTTGTTTTGTGTTCGATACAAGAAAGAAATTCATTAAAGTTTAGACCCACTTAAATTGTGAGTGAATTTTAAAGAACTTTGTTTGGGTGAAATTTCCCTTTAAAAAATTGCCTCTATTCTATTGCCTCATTTAAACATTTAATCAACGTTTTTACACATTTGCAATACAAAAAGTGTGTAATTCTTAATGTAATAATCAGATGTTGAAGTATGGTGATAAACTGTTAACTCTGTTGCCCTGCAGTGCATTGTGTTCAGAAGCAGTTTGCTGGACTCACCCTTGTCCTCCACTTCTGGCATTAGATCTCTGAAGGATCTCCTGATCTGCCAGCCGTGACCCACTAGAGATGGCATGACCCTCAGCAGCTCCTGTCTGTCCTCCTCTCTGATGACGGGCACCGTGTCCAGAATCAGCTGCATCTGTTCCAGTTCATGAGCACCTGAGATGAGGCGCGCACACACACATTTACACACACACAATGTCAGACTATTGAGTCAGTGATATTTAGACTAGCAATTAAAATATAAAATAAAATACTGAGTCACTGATTTTAATATACATACATACATACATACATACATATATATATATATATATATATATATATATATATATATATATATATATATATATATATATATATATATATATATATTTTATTTATTTATTTATTTATTTTTTAAATAGATATTTTATGAGAATAATACTATTTTTGTATAAAATTATAATATATATATATATATATATATATATATATATATATATATATATATATATATATATATATATATATATATATATATATAAATAAATATTGTTACGTTCAAATGATTTATGATTTATATACATTCAATATTGGCAAAGCATCAATTTGGGGGGAAAAACATAAGAAGAAAGAAAGAATTACAGCTGTACACAAACAACTTGAAATATGATATTAAAGTATGGGGGGAAAGAAGTAAACTTAGCATCACATTGTTTTGTAGTGTTTTTAATTTTTTTTATTTATTTAATTTATTTTTTTAATAATTAAGACATTTCTCTTTTTTAAAGTAATGTTTTACAGCAATCATTCCAATTTAAAAACAATTTTAAAGCCAAAATGAAATGTGTTGATAATATAATGTAGACCTGTAAATATTTTATATATACGTTTAATGTATACATCATTAAAAATATCATATAAACACAAACTATAAGCATATTTAAAACAGCAGCGTTTTTTATTGCTATTTGTATTTACTCAAATTATTGGAACCCTAGTCATGCATTTTTCCTATATTGTAACTGAAATAACAAAAAAAAAAGACATTTGCAACATCTTTTACACAAAATGCTTCATTTATTTACAATGTTACCGATGCAGTGCAGAACTGTGAAACTGATGAATTGACACATCAGGTCTAAATATCTATTTCAACATTCAGCCACTAGAGGCCGCTCTGAGACTCCAGATAATGAAGATTGACGTTTCTGTTGAACCACAAGGTTAACAGGACAGCAGCAGAAAGTGTTTTGTCCTCACCTGCGAACAGCATTCGTCCAGTGAGCATCTCGGCCAGAATACATCCTGCGGCCCACATGTCGATCGCTTTTGTGTAGTTATTTGGAGACAGCAGCAGTCTGGGCGAACGGTACCATTTAGTGACCATCCCCTCTGACAGGTAACCCTGTGCGGGAAACAATAAATGTGGTTAATATATATTTACACACGACAGTAAAAACGATTGATATATTTTCGAAGGTTGTCTGGCTGAAAAAAAAGATATTTGTTCAGCAGGTTACTCTGAATAGCAAATGAATGTACTCGGTATAGGCCTTCTGGTCAAAGTAGAGATGCCAAAAAGAAAGTAGCGTACACTTGGAAAAACACTTTTGAGAACATTAAATGTCAAACTATTTGTGAAATAATGTTCCATCGTCATCCTGACCTGTAAGAATGAAACAATATATGCCACTTATTCTGCCCTGTATTAAAATATATGAATGAATAAGTGTTTACTATATTCGGGTACACTTTAAAGAATTAAAAACTTCTTGATGAAAAAAGGTCAAATCTTTGGTGGTATGAAGGATGGTGGCAAAGTAAGAAGCTAAAATGTTATGAATAAAACTATTTTTTAGGATTTTGATTCTTTTACTTATCATGCCTGATTTGCATTTTAGTGCATGTCGTCTGTGGGCAACATGGCAGCTCAGTGGTTAGCACTGTCGCTTCACAGAAGGAAGGTCGCTGGTTCGAGTCCCAACTGGGTCAGTTGGCAATTCTGTGGTATAGGTGAATTGAATAACCTAAATTGGCTGTGTTGTATGTGAGTGAATGAGTTTTTCCCAGAAATGGGTTGCAGCTGGAAGGAGATCTGCTGTGTAAAACATAATGCTGGATAAGTTGGCGGTTCATTTCGCTGTGGCAACCCCTGATGAATAAAGGGACTAAGCTGAAGAAAAATGTATGAATGTATGTCTTCTGTCAATCCTGCACTCAGTATTTTGCTGAAATAAATGAAATGAAACATTGTGAATTCTTACATAAGGACGCTTCTGAAGTAAAAAACAATTGTATTGTGTTGTCTAAAGACTAACACACAAAATTTGATGCACAAAAATGCTCTAAATTATCAGTTTTTGTTATTTAAATTTTTGAAAAACTGTCATCAGTAGTTTACAAAATAAAACGAAAATGACATTTTACTCGAACACAACTATAAAATGAGATTCTAAAAACAAATAAATCTGATTTGGTCTTCATTGGACTTATTTTTCTATGGTGGCAGAGATGCATTTTATAACATCCTTTGATTAACAGAAGCTTCAAAAGAAAGCGGTTTATTTGAAAAAGTAATAATTTTTTGACTAAAAGTACACACATGTGTGTGTGTGTGTGTGTGTGTGTGTGTGTGTGTGTGTGTGTGTGTGTGTGTGTGTGTGTGTGTGTGTGTGTGTGTGTGTGAGAGGGAGAGAGTGGGGGGGGTTTCCCAAAACTGGATTGTGGCTGGAAGGGCATCTGATGCATGAAACATATGCCATAATAGTTGGCGGATCATTCTGCTGTGGTAACCCTTGATGAGTGACTAAGTCAAAGGAAAAATGAATTAATTAATTAATTTCAAACAAATGGTGTAGTTTGACATAAGGCCAAGCAGTGGCGCAGTAGGTAGTGCTGTCGCCTCACAGCAAGAAGGTCGCTGGTTCGAACCTCTGCTCAGTGTGAGGATTTTGCATGTTTTCTGTGCGTTCGTGTGGGTTTACCCCACAGTCCAAAGACATGCTGCAGGTGAATTGGGTAGGCTAAATTGTCCATAGTGTATGAGTGTATGAGGGTGACAGGCCCAGACGACAGGCCGGCCGGAATGTGTAAAAACAAGACGTTATCATATGGACAGGTCTAAAATGGCTTGTTCCAAAAAGCCGACCCCGCAACCATACGGGACTAAGGCCAAAGAAGAAGAAGAAGAAGGTGTAGTTTGACATAAATTGGTCGCCCTTTACAATAAGGTATCATTAGTTACTCTATTAACATGCTCTAAGAATAAACAAAACCTGCACAGCATTTATTAATCATTGTTCAAAATGTATTATTAAAATGTGAAGTAATGTATGTTAACATTAGTTAATGCACTGTATTAACTAACAATAACTAAGTTGAATAAGTCAGAGGAGAAATGGTCGTGCCCAACTGAGCCTGGTTTCTCTCTAGGAATTTTTCCTTCCCTTTTGTCAAATAGTGAAGTTTTGTTCCTCGCCACTGGCTTGCTTGGTTTTGGGAGCTGCACATTGATGGGTTTGCTCTTAGATCAGATGTTTGGACTTTCAGAAATGAAAATTAAACCGCACTGAACTAAACTGAGATTCAACTCTGAAAACTGGACTGACACTGTTTCAATTTACTAGAACTTTTATGTAAAGCTGCTTTGACAGAATCTACATTGCAAAAGCGCTATAAAAATATACATGAATTTAACGCAATACTGTAATAAATGTTTTTTTAGTAATGCATTACCTAACATTAACTAATAGAAACCTTATTGCAAAGTTTTATCCATAAATCTTACTTAGAGTAGGGTGTTATGAATGCAGCATGTGACTCGGCTTGTGTGTGAAGTGTGATAAAGAAACAGCTGATGTACAGTAGCTCTCTGACTCTCCGTAACCCTCTTCCTACAGTCTCCTTCTTTCATCCCCTGCTTTCTCACCTCCCACTCTCCCCTCGGGCTCAGGTGATGAATTATTTGTGAGATTTTAGCAGGGCGGATCTGAAGGCTGACGGTGACACAAGCGACAATGATATTTACATGTCCTGCTCAAACAAAGAGCCTTTGTCTTCTCGATGACGCTGATTCATGGAGACCTTTCAAACTGCTCACAGGAAACAACACCGCCAAAGACTGAAATTGAGAAATAATATTAATCAAATTATTTTTCTTTCAGGCATCTTGGTAAGTGTTGGTTGGTTTTCAAAGTAACTTGCACTGAGATGGACTGACTTTGAGGATTTTTTTTCAAGCCAAAAACGTATACATTTTTTGATTTTTTTTTTCAAATATATTTTATATAAATATTATATACTGTTGACAAAATTGTTAGCCCGACTGAAAATAAAAATAAAAAAGTGTTCTGTATAACAGATTTGTTTCAATGTTTTTAAACATAATAGATTTAATTTTTAAATTTTTTTTTTTTTTTGATGAACTGATATGTACTATGATGACACTACATAATATTTTACTAGTTATTTAGCAAGATGCTATTCAGCTTAAAGTGCAATGGCTTGAGGTTATTGGGTTAACTAAGTTAGGTTAATTAGACAAGTTTGTTCTGTAGACAATATAAAAAAATCTCTATTGTTTTTTTTCTTTGTTTTCTTCCCAATAAAACTTAAAATAAGCTTTTCTTCCAGCCAAACAAAAAGAAATAATACTTTCTCCAGATGAAAAAACATTTCAAGAAATACTGTGGAAATGTCCTTGTTCAGTTAAACATCACTTTATCTAATAATCTAAATAATAATAACTTAATAGTAATATTAGTAATCTAAAATCTAATAAATTTGCCATGAAATGTGATGCGTACATTTAGTTAAAGGCAAAATCCTGTGATTTTTCTATTCTTTTTCAAATATCCCCAAGTATTTTTATACGTAAATAAATATGAAATAACATTTATATAAAATATACATGCGTGTGTTATTCTCTTACATAAATAATTAATCATCATGACAGCTTTAAACTAATCTGAGGACTAGATTTATTCATGTTAGCATGCTTAGAAAGCCTTAAGTCATTTACATGTTAGCTGTGAATTTCAAACACAATCTCACGGCAATTCAGAACTTTTTGTCTTAGTGGCTAATTCGTTAGATTTCGTATGATTTAATTAGTACAATTTAGTACGATTTGCTCATCCCCCAATGAAGGTTGGGTTTAGGGGTGGGGTTAGGTGCCTCCTTTTTAAAATGGTACAGTTTCGTATGACTAAACTTGTATGAATTAGCCACTAAACTGACAAAACATAAAATTCTTAGGTTTTCTCGTGAGATCAGGCTGGAATTGCTCACAGTTGTGCCTGTTTCATATTGCATATTTTAAGATAAATTCCCCCTTCTAGGCTATCTTAAAGACATCTGAATATATCTGCATTTAAGAAACAGTCCAGAAAACATAGACAAATGCTTAAGCACATCAAGCACCCCTGTAGAATCAGGTCTGATTTAATATCAATATCAATCATGAATCAATAAAAAACAAACAAAAAGCAACAAAAACAACATGTATGCTAAAAATATTTTGTAACTTTTTGGAGACTTTGGAAGAATTGCATTTTAAAATATTTCAGAATAACAGAACATCTTATGTGCAGCTGTTCTAATATTGTCTGTTATACTGCCAGTCAAGAAGAGTTATTTTATTTATATTATATTAATAGATTAACTCCAAGTTTCACAAACAAGGTTTAAGGCTAGTCAAGATTAAATTGCATGTTTAACCCGTCTCAACTCAAAATAACTTTCAGTGAGATGTCTTAAAATACATCAGTGTCATTATTGTTCTCCAGGTGCACACTGGTAATATATTTTTCTAAGGCCATTTTTATAAATTTGGCTTAAATAGACTTATTAAACTAAGGCCTAGTCCTGGCTTAATCTAAGCCCTGTTTGTGAAACTGGGCCTAAGTGTTATTTTTATTTATTTATTTAGAAAATTTACACCTGTTCCTTGCTTTAAATTTTTTAGAAATCAAATAAGATTTTCTTCAGATGTTTCATGTTAATGTATTTGAAAATTATTTGGCCAAAAAAAAGTGTTTTTAAATATATTTATTAATTAAATTTAATTCCAAATATATAAAAAAAATGCACAAACATGGTCAAAATATTACATATAAATAATAAATAAATAATACATATATATGTATGCATATATAGGCCATTCGTGTGAAATTTGAAAAATATAAATATTTTTAATTTCACTGTGCAGAATTATAAGCCCAGTAAGGTGTAAATCAGTTTCATAAAACTTATCTTTATATCTAATTGAGTTCCTATTTAAATGGCTAGCCCAGCCATCATAAATGAGCTACAGAACAGGAGAAAGGACTCCTGATGAAGTTCATTGTCCACCTGATCTTCATTCTTCATGTGCTATTGAGGTAATAAAACCATCTGGGGCCCTTTCTGTCCCCTGCCTGCCCTGAGAACATATGCGGATCCAGATGCTGCTGTAAATGCAGTCCACTTCTCTGTGATCCTCTAGATTTGGGAACTGAATGTTCCCTCCATGCTGAGAGGGGAACAGACGCTCTCAGCACCGAGTGGCAGAGATGCAGGCATTCGCTCAGTGAATGGGTGAAAGGAACTAGTGCCCTTAATTCACTGAGGCTCACTGCTGACTGAGAGCTACAACAACACACTAATGCTTCTTCAGACTAATACAACCAAGAGTGGCATGCACCTATATTTCAGAGGACACTCACACATACTTTTTAATGCCAGTTTTCAATATAGAGTATATTATATATTACGTTAAGTGGTATCTGAAAATGATGAGCTATAAGTTTTTTAAATAAGTGTTGCCATATCTTTAGACATTTTTAATTGACTACACATGGGTAAAATAAAAATAAAAACATCCACTTTGTGGAAAAGTGGCTTACAAAAGTGTGAAAATGTTCATAGATTATAATTTAATTCAGAATTTAAAGACTTAATTAATGTGTGATACTTAGTATTAAATTAAGGGTTTATATAATAAAATAATATATTACAATTTTTATTTAAACACAACCAACTTCTGGATCTTTGTTTTGATCTTCAACACAGACCCACATATTTATATATACACAATATATATGCTAATATCATATCATATTAAAGTAATTTTTTTATCTGTTAAGCTGCTAATTTGCAACTTTATTTTTACTAGGTTACATGATTTTGGTAGAAACATCTGGCTACCCTGAAGGTATCAGCACATATTCAAATAAATTTTCCCAATCATGAAATATCTCCTGAATAACTTATTTATCTGAATATACTTATTTATCTTTTTTTTTAATGTATCTTGCTTAAATCCAGGTTCACTAAACATTTTTTTCAGCAACTGAAGACAGAAGTTTTGGCAAATTTTGATTAATATTTTGAGTGACACGACAGCCCAAGAATACTGCTGGGTAAGGCTTATTTAATTCTATCCTATTTTTCCATCCAGTCCTGCGAGTGACTGTCCCCCTTTCCCTGATCATTCACCCCACCTTGTACCGTCCCACACAAAGCTCTCCATTCATGCCTTCCTCTCGGTCTGCTAGTGTTACACAGTGAGCCCTGCTAAATAATACAGAAGCACAATGAGACAGTAAAGTGCTGCATTAATCTTTCAGCTCCCATAACATCAAGGTAATTGTTCATAATTATTGTATAATACTATAGGGCAAAGTTTGAAAATGAATGTAAAATGTCTGGAAATATGAAGTAACCAGACACACTATGTAGTTGTTATTAGGGTCAATTCAGTGTGTGTGAAATAAAACCTCGAAAGCAAAATTGAAAGCATGGAAGATTAGTTTTTTTTTTACTTTTAGGAATAAAAGTACTATGAAACTTTTCTCTCTCTACCTCTCTCTCTCTCTCTCTCTCTCTCTCTCTCTCAAACACAAACACACAGTGTGATGTACTCTTACAATTGTGCAAAATAATCAAACTTCACCATTATTTTAAAAATGTGAATAGATTCTTTGTTAAATCACAATCTTTAAATGTGAAGTCGAGGTTTATTTTAGCTAGAAGGAGTAAGTGAAAAAAAAATGAAAGTTTGCTCCTGAGTTGTGGATAAAATATAAGCTAATTACAATTATACTCGACAAAAGGGCTGACAGAGATCTATTTAAAGTTGTATTTTGGGGGGTTTAATGTATATTATATGAAATTATATTGAAAACATCAGAATAATTCATTATATAAAAACATCAGAATAAAGTTTAAGTCTATTGGAATCTTTTAGTGAAAAAAGTAAGGAGCTGAGAGACATAAACATGACACGATGCACTTATATGCAGCAGTCTACATGTGTTTGTTGCCTCATTACAAACATACATGACAAATTTCACAATATACACGTTAAACTAAAAAAGATCGAACAGATCATGTGCCTCTTTGGGAGGCACTGAATACATTTATAATCCATCTTTCCTGAATTTTGTTTTCTGACAACCAGCTGTTATAATATATGTCATGCTACAAGGAAACAATGGTATTACTTTATTCTATAATGCTTGGTGATTCATACAGTAAAATGTAAATAGCTACAGGCACTTCAAGAGCCAAAAAACAAACAATAATAATTCCCTGTGGCTGATGATATAGAGGGGATATAAAGTAAAACAAATGGTTTGTGCAAAAACTCAACTTTATTTACAATATTATTATCATCTTTAATTAACCAATTCCTATTTAATCCATTCTTATTCTACAATCTTAAATGTAGAAGGGATGAGGCTGACTAAATTGACAGAAAATAAAAAATTTTGGGTGAACTAAACTATCCCTAGAAGTCTGAACCTGATTAAGAATCATCAATGAGACTGATGAAAAGCAGATCATCTCAAGTACTTCTGTGCCTAAGGAAGTTACATTGATGAAGACGCTGTAAATGGATTAATATGTCATTACCTTAACAGCCTGCAGCACATGATAATTGATAGGAAATGTGATTCTGTTAATCAAGGCCAAACTGTGACTGCAGGGTGAACCACAATGAACCCTTGTAATGTAATACATACTACAAGAAGACTGTACAGACTGCTAACATCTAAAAGGTCCCAAAAATAAACTGCTAAAACTAGTTAATTAGTTTTGTGTATTATTCAGTTTGTTTTTTTCCTATATTCCTAAATTACTTGATCACTTACTAAAGGATTATTTTTGTACAAGAATTCCTTTTTACGTGTTCAAAATCATGGCATTAATTTGGTACATGAACTCTAAAATGTATGTAATCCAACATTTACTACTAGATAAGAATGCCCTTGATGGGCATTGATAGTATATATATATATATATATATATATATATATATATATATATATATATATATATATATATATATATATATATATATATATATATATATGCGCAGTATTTCTGCTTTTTATTAAAATACTGCAGAGGGCTAGCTGCCGGATAACTATTATTATAAAATATTCATATAGAGGTATAAAGGCTGTAAAACCCCTCACTACACCATTTTCTCAGATAGGCATTAACATTTTCACACTTTTCTCTCATTTAAACACTCACATAACTTCTACCTTCCTTTAGCATGTCCAAAAGTCCAACTTTTTGTGTGATGGTTAGCATTTTGGGTGCCACTGTGGGTGCCTTTGATGGTGTAGAATGTTTCGTCGACATTATGGGATTTGTTAGGAAGAAAACTTGCAAAAATTCAGTCCAGCACTACACTGCTAGCAAGCAAAGATTTATGTCAATTTGGCAAGCTGAATGCATTCTGTCCTGTATAGGAGACATGGCAGGAAGTAGATTGATTGACAGTGGTCTACAGCCAATCAGGACGCAAAACACGAAAGGTGAACTGCATTATGGCAAGGGACCACTGTATATAATATTCAAATACAAGTATAACTTTGATTGATATAATAGAAATAACTTATTTGATACAAGTGTGTCATTTTTGTGTAAATTGCATTATTTTGGAGCAAAAATGATGCTATCGCAAATTGGAAGTAGTTTTATGGCATCAGCTATAGATGTCTTAGAGCTGATTGGTCCAGTTTGGGATTGTTATCTATAACCCAAAATAAAACCTGCTCCGGAGAAGGTTAGCCATGTTACTGTGTTAAAGTAACCCGATTAAAACCAACCCACTATTGAGCCCTAAAACTATGCTCAAAAATTATGCTCAAACTAAATGCCAACTTACCTGCGTTAAAAATCTAAACTGCCTTTGTACTGCAGGCCTCTAGATTTTGCGTTATCCACTTGTGACTGGATTGATGAAACAGCCTAGATGTATTTTTAGTGAATGAAGTGTAGTCTGTGACTCACCTTGTGCGAGTAATGTGGGTCGACAATGCGTGCCAGGCCGAAGTCTCCGATCTTCAGCAGCATTTGCTCTGTGTTGATAAAGATGTTCGCTGGCTTCAGGTCACGATGCAGCACGTTGGCCGAGTGGATAAACTTGAGCCCTCGAAGCAGCTGATAAAAGAGCAGGGTGGCATGTTCTGCTGGTAACGGCCCTTGTTCGAGTAGTCGTGCCAAGTCAGTCTCCATACACTCTTGCACTATGTATATGGCCGCCACATGAGTCAAGTCCCGTGGCAAAGGGTGACCAGACGAGCCCAACACGTCATACACCCGGACCACGTTCTCATGCTGAAGGCGGCGGGTGATCTTTACTTCCCTCAGAGCGTGTTTTACGCTGACGGCATCTCGCATTACCAGCTTTTTCACTGCCACACGAAGGCCGCTGCGCCTGTCTAGTGCAGAAAGCACAAGACCGGATGCTCCTGTGCCCAGAGGACGCAAATCCTGGTACTGTGCCCCCAGGTCAAAGCCATACCGGAATGGTGATGTGTTGTGCCAGGCCATTTCTTAGAGAGGAGAAATCAGGCATTGCCTGTGAGAGGCTGTAGAGAGTGAGGAGAGTAAATACAATTTAATAAACTCTGATTATAATGCATGTAGATCAGTGTTTCTCAACCACATTCCTGGAAGACTACCAGCTCTGCACAAATTTCCATGTCTCCATACCCAAACATACCGGATTCAGGTCTTCAGCTCATTAGCAGAGACTGAAAGACCTGTAATGGCTGTGACAGACAAAGGAGACATCCAAAACATGCAGTGTTGGTGGTCCTGCAGCACCATGGTTGAGAAACATAGCTGTAGATTACACAAAAATATGTTGTTCATTTACTCATGCTCATTGGCTTTTTTTCATCAGCAGAACATTTAAAAGACTTATAGCTGAAACTGTGGTCCTTGGTGATACATAAAATGAAGTCAACAGTGTTTTTCTGATGATACACAAGCATTGGAAAATGGTCCTCAGAGTGTTTATAATGGTCTGCTTTTTCACATAAAGCTGTATGCACAAACACACATAAAGGAAAGCTGTTTGATAACAACTTTTTAGTATTTGAACCATCAAGGAATGGTACATGTATCATTTTGATGAAAAACAAAACACATTGGAGGCCCTCAGAGCTAAGAAACTGCAATCATTCATTTTCCTTCGGCTTAGTCCCTTATTTTTCAGGGATCACCACAGCAGAATGAACTGCCAACTATTCCAGCATATGTTTTACTCAGCGGATGTCCTTTCAGCCACACCATGGTACTGGGAAACACCCATTCACATTCAAACACAAACTCGTACACTATGGCCAGTGTAATTTATTCAATCACCCATACTGCTTGTCTTTGAACTGTGGGGTAAACCGGAGCACCCAGAGGAAAGCCTTGCGAACACAGGGAGAACATCCAAACTCCACACAGAAATGCCAACTGAATCAGCCGGGACTTGAACCAGTGCCCTTTTTGCTGTGAGGTGACAGTGCTTAACATTTTTACTTAACAAGACAGTGTTTAATATTTCTTTACTGATAATTTTGCTGTTTTTAAACTCAAGCAGTGGAACATGGGAAAATAACAATAGTGCCATACTGGGGATTTGAATTCCAACCAATAAAATGACACACCTTCAATTCACTGCACATAATGTTTATGAAAATATCCTTAAAAGGTGCCCAATATAACCATATACATTTTTTTATAAACATCATGGATGTAATTTCATGATTTTTATGCACATTCCACAAATTTTGCAAGCATGCTTTTGACACTAAATGAGAAACTGTCACAAGTTTAAATCAAGCAATTAGTCAATATCTTGTTTTAACCTGTATTTCTGACAACTTTTACTTTTACTTTTGAACATAATTCATTCATTCATTTTCTTTTCGGCTTAGTCCCTTTATTAATCAGGGGTCGCCACAGCGGAATGAATGGCCAACTTTTCCACCATATGTTATTATGCAGCGGATGCCCTACCAGCCGCAACCCAGTACTGGGAAACACTCACTGTCCAGTTTAGCTTAAACAATTCACTTATAGCACATGTGCTTGGACTGTGGGGGAAACAGGAGCACCCGGAGGAAAAGCCAAGCCAACACAGGGAGAACACAAAGAAATGCCAACTGATCCAACCCGACTCGAACCAGCGACCTTCTTGCTGTCAGGCGACAGGCTACCCACTGCTAATAGGGCTGCATAATATATAGTTTAAGCCTCAATATCACAATGTGCAGATCCGCAATAGTCACATCGTAAGATAAGCAATAGTACATAGAATTTATAGGATTTATGAAAAAAAAAATTCTCACTTAGAATTTGTCTTTTTTCTAGTCTAAATATCTACTTTTCAAAGTGAAAACAATATTATTTTAATTCCCCCATAAGTGGATATTTTTCTTGTTTTAAAGCAAAAACCTCTGAAGTTGATTACAAAACAATATTATGCTTCATATATTTTTTAGATATATTTTATATATTACAAACGAGACAACTGTCTCGTTTCTGTACCTGAATACTGTTAGACTCCCGGAAAGAGCTATTCAAGCTATCTGTTGAAAATGTGTTCATATTGCAATAGTTATTGCAGAAAAATTAATTATCACATAATCAGATTTTTCCAATATCATAAAAATCTAACAATAGCAAATAACAATCTAATAACAAGCTCTAAATTTACTGAAGTGCAGAGTTTTTTTTTTTAGAATTTACATCTCTTTACAACTGCACCTGCATAAAGCGAAATTTAAAGTCAGCATGAAACAGAAGCGGCAATAATCTTTTCTTTCCTGTTGCAATGTATATAAGGAAAACAGGTGCAGGATGGGTTGATCTGATCATCAGGATTTATTGGATAGTTGTAGCTTAATATTGATCTCATGTGAGTGACAGAACATACCAGTGAATGCGATTTCAGAAAATATAAGAGCTGCCGCTGCAGGGGAAGTAATTCTTATTAAGGATTATGAAAGCATGGATAAATCATTTAGAACAAATGCTGCAATAGCCCATAAAAATAAGAAGTGTCTGCCTTGATTTCGCAGTGACTTTAACACCTCATCCTGAAGACGGAGATCTTAAATCTCACACTTGCATACTCTTAAAGCAATGGGGGCACAGTACTGGGTGGAATACAACTCACCACCCAAGTACAGGGCAAGTGTTTCCATAGCAACATGCCACTGTCAGCCAGTGCCTGCTGCACACAGCAAACACTCTGAAACGGAGTCTCAGAGGATTCGTCTCTACCCCAAAAAACACTCCATGTTAAATTCAAATTGAATAGAACTCCTGCACAGGAGCTGGAGGTTTTCTTGTGATGTTCGACGTGAACATTTGCAGCAGGTACTTTAAATGTGGCTGCTTTTCATGTATAATCTAAGAGCTTTCACTTGCCGTCTCCGGCTCCAGGCTGTCCTGAACCCTCCATGCTCCTCTGGCAGATATGTGTCATGCTTCTCATCTGCTCCCTTCAGTGGAGAGAAAAAGAGAGAAAGAGAGAGAGAGAAGATGTATAATTAGACACTGATCATTATTATAATACAGTACAGACAAGTGCAGTTCAGAAATAGGACCAATACATTTTATAGTTTCATTTCTTAAATGTTTTAGCAATATGGTTGCCTACAATGATAAATTAATAACTGGCGAGAAAGCATGTAGCGTTATTCTACTAGTCTGACAAGATTAATAAGTCATTTGTAGTCCAATTTAGTTCTTAAAGGTTAACTCGTTCATTTTTGTTTACCTTATTTGGCTTTTATTCAATGAAGTGCAACCGTGCCCACACACAGTTTTAGGTCCTGAAGTATTTTCTATTTATGTTTTATCACCATGGAAATAAAAAAAAATCTCTGTTAAACCCATTAATAAAAAGCTGAGACTAATCAAAATATTACAAACTTTGGTTTGAAGAAAAAGAAAAGATGCAAGACTGTGTAATTAAAGGAATAGTTCACCCAAAAATTTAAATTCTGTCATCATTTACTCACCCATTACTTGTTCCAAATGAGTTTTACTTTTTTTTTCGTTAGTTTTATACATTTTTTTTTTAAGTCAGAAACATATAACCATTATATTTGATTTTCTTCTTCTATAGAAGTTGGTTACATGTTTTTAACATTCTTCAATATGTGAAGAGCTCAGATTAGAGCTGCAGACTCACAGATGCATCACTGTATTTTGTACGATTCCTTAGATTGGTTATCTTTAAAATCAAAGGAGAAAATTACATTTGAACTTATTTACTTTAAAGGCTCTTTAAGGTAAACTACCATCCTACCTTTCTAATTTGCTAACATTTCAAATTAATATTCATCACACTAGATTTGGTTCCTATATTCGGTTGACAGTATAAAGGGTATTGTCAGAACTTGGCAAATGTGTCCTAGTGCTTGGAATGATCTGCAAAATCAGCTTAATCTTGACACACTTCCGACTCTGAGTACCTTTAAACATCTTCTAAATACCTGGTGGATACCTGTAATTGTTTTTTTATGATCTGATCTTTTTGTTGAATGGTGATTTTATAATTTTGTGGTGTTGTTTTCTGTGATTTTTGTGTAAAACTTTATATGCTGCCTGCCATCTTGACCAGGTCTTACTGGAAGAAGCGGCAGTACTGTCTCAATGTGATCTCCTGGCTAAATAAAGGAAATAATAATAATAAGATGCAAAAACTTCAAAAAAGTTTGAAATTTCCATCAAAAATGAACATTTTTCTCAGCCTCCTTTGTTTATGGTGAGATATTTCACATTAAAGACTATAAAAAGGACTTCTTGTTTGCAATAAAATTGATATTACTGAACATACACACAGGAGCCTGATAAAAATACAGCATTTAGAGTTTCTTGCATTTGAGCCCTTCATATCTTCTATTGCATTCAACAGAAATAAGTCAAGAGTGAGAAAACGGTTAGCTACTTTCATTTTGGGTGAACTTTAATGGCTTCAATGAGGGAAGGTTCTACAATCCCATAAAGCATTGTGAATGGCGTAATGACACTACATATGACAGAGAAAAAAAAGACTTTCAAGTTGTTGGTTTGAATTAGTCACCTTTTTTGCAACGGAGAAATAATCTATTTTCTGATAGTTTTAAAAATATTTTCTGATTGTTTTATGACTTTGAATCATTTGCCTTTGGGGGAAATTGCCAGGAATAACAAACGGCAGTAAATGGTAAAAAAATAATAATAATAAATAAATCAAACTACTTGCTCTACAGACAGTTCTTTTTATGACTGTATATTAATATATACAGTGCTCAGTGTAATCGAGTACACCCTATTTTGAAAATGAATATTTTGAACTATTTCTCAGTGAATATAGGCAATGTATTTTGGTGCATTTAAACAAAACAAATTTATTGAACAGATATATTTATTAAAATTATATTTTAGTCACAAACATATTCAGAATTTGAAAGATAATACAAATAAATTCAACCCAAATATAGCAAAAAAAAAAAAATCAACTGAATTTATCCATTTTTTTTCTTGTATTTTTGTCTTTTTTTGTATTCACTATTTTTCTATAATATATAAATTTGGCTGTACTAGTTTTTGGACCGTTATCACAAGTTAATTTGTTAGATAAGCTCCAGATTTGGTTTTAGTACTGACTAATCTATGCACAAATATAATATTGTATAACTTCCTATTAAAAATATTAATTTAAAAGATAGATTTGTGAGGGGTGTACTTATATATGCTGATCACTGTATATTACATGTTTGCAACATCAATTAATTAATATGAGTAGTATGAATGAAATTCAAGGATACTACATCCACCACTTAGCCATTTTCATTTGACCTACATAAATTCTGTCCTGTGGTCTCCAGGGACAGTATCTTTGTCTATTGAATGCAAACCCTGGTGAAAGTAATAGGTAATCCAGTTTTTTCTTTCATACTGTTTTTTGAATACTATGATATTACACGTCTTACATTTTATATGATTAAATACAGACAAAGCCTAGTTTTTCCTCATATGTGACAACATATGCATTACTAAATGTTGGTTTATTTATCTTTAAAGTGCGTTTATGCTTTTAAAGTGCCTTAAACACTAGATTAAAGTAAACTATGCTTAACATTATAAGTAGCAATAACTCATCAACAGCGTGACACCACGCGTCACGTGATGTAAACATGGTGGTACCCATAAACGGACAGACCCTTTCCTGTGGAATAAAGCAGATTTTTGTGGAACACTGATTAGAATATTGTTGGCTGTTAATCAATACAATTCTTGTGTTTTGTTGTTGTTTTTCGAAAGCCACGTTTATTTTGATTACTTTTGAACAAGTAAAAAATACCGAGAGTGCAGAAGAATCTAGCACAAACCAATGGACCACCAGACTAGTGTGAGCCAAACTTTATAAATAATGCATATGACTATGGCGCTGACCGTGCAAGCGGATGCAATGTATTGTCGAACGTTAGAACAGAATGTAGCCTTATACTTTTTAAACGTACCGTAAAATAAAAAACACGGAGAACTTGTTAAGCCTGAAGACGAAGGCAAGAAAGCACACATGAAGCTGTGGGTCCAGCTGAGCACACAATAGGCAGCGCTGCATTCATTCGCCTTTGTGTGACAAACAGTAACGCCTGTATTTGCCTCAGAAATTGAGCGGATACATAGACCACCCCAAACGCAATGTATGACAGCAGTTTCACACGCAAGTCTATTTTTAAGTGACAAAAGAGCCTATAAGCGTATGAAACAGAATGTAAATTCAGATTTTGACAACACTATCTTCTTATCTTCCGGCCCATCCGCGGAGAAAACTACAAAGGCAGCGATGCTCCTGGATCTCTTACCGTCGCCCGCCTTTGTCAGCTGCTCCACGGGCTGCTCTATTTGTGTTGGAAAGAAAACAAATGAACATAGTTTTCCGTCGGGAAAGTCGTGTTTTCGTAGTTGAGAGTTTGTTATTGAATCTTGGCACCGGCGCAGTCCGGTGAATGGAGGTTTTAGTCTCAGTTTGCTGCTGCCGTGAGGAATTTTCCGTGTGTGGAGAATAATAGTAGATCTTACCGGCGATAGTCACCGGGAGGAACCGCGGAGAGAGCTTTCCTTTAAGAGACACTGCATTTGTTCGGCTCCCGGCGTCCCTCTTCTAGTGTGGAGCTACAAGCTTTTCTTTGGCAAAACTCGCTGGTGCCCCCTTGATGACGTCACGCCCTCCCCATCCATCAGACGGTGATCCTGACACCTGCGCGCTCGTGCAGGACAAACACATGATGGGCCGTGAGCGGCAGCAGGTTTGCTGGTGCTCTTAACTGCTCTGGGCATCTGGTTTTGACACGCGAAGTGATTAACTTCACAAATACGCTCGATAATATACTTAAACACACACACACACGTTTTGAATTTTCTTTTGTAGGTTTCCACATGAGAAAAGTATTATATTGTATTTAGGCCTATAATAGAGTAGGCTATGTTTATAAACTATATTGTAACGTTATGCTAGCATTTACATAAATTTGTTAATTAATGCTAAATACTGTAGTATACTTTAGTTTTTACCACAGTAAACTGTGGAATATTATAGTAGTATAATACACCCTAAATGTGGAGAATACAATATTTTGTAATTAACATTCATTATTAAAGTTGGTGCACAGCAACCAGCAACAGAATGACCACAACCTATTAATGTAAGTATTTACTAGTTTAGTTCAAGTTTACTATAAATTACTAAAAATTTATTTTTTTCCATGGGCTGATTCAAATGAAAGTTTGTATACAAAAGAACAATTTTATGATCAGTATCATTTTTGTAAGATGTTCATATAAAAGTTTGTACATAATTGTACATTGATTGAACAAATGTTTAAAAAAACAACTAAAAACTACATGGGTTACAGTAAAGCTGTTTGGTTATTACATCCCTTTAGTATGTAAATGACAGTGCACATAAATTAACTAGCAACGGAGCACATGTCACTCCGCTGCTCATCCGTTTGCACTGGCTGTCAGTTGCTGCTCGCATCAAATTCAAAGCTCTGATGTTTGCCTACAAAGCGACTTCTGGCTTTGCTCCTTCTTATCTGCTCTCACTTCTGCAGATTTATGTGCCCTCCAGAAACTTGCGTTCTGTGAATGAACGTCGCCTCGTGGTTCCATCCCAAAGAGGGAAGAAATCACTTTCCCGAACTCTCGCATTCAATCTGTCCAGTTGGTGGAATGAACAAAAAAATCAATAAATAAAAATAAAAAATTACTAATCTTTTGCTTCTTACACTTTACATACCTGAAACGTGCCTACAGCACTTATTCATTGTTGCTCTTATAGTAGTGTAAATTGCTTCCTTGTCTTCATTTGTAAGTCGCTTTGGATAAAAGCATCTGCTAAATGACTAAATGTAAATGTAAACTAAAAATACGGTACATATAAAAAATTTATATTTAACCATTGTTTACAAGATTTTTTTTTAAAAATCCTAAATATAATTATAATTACTTTAGAAATAGTTAACGGCAGTCCGTTAAATTGTTAGGAAATGAGGCATGCCCAAGGTGGTAATGTGGCAATGATGCAAAGTGGCCATTACTTCTCAGGCCTGGAACTACCCGGTTCTGTACTTTAGACATGCGTTTCCTTGAAAATATTTGCAAACCTGTTGTAGAATGTTCAGCAGCCCTGTAGATTAAATTAAAATATCTTTTTATTTATTTTACAATCATACATTTTGTTGCCTGTTTGATATTTAAAATATATATATGCATTTATTTATTTTTTAATGCAAAAAGAAACAAAGTACATGTAATTTCACAATAATACACAACATAAAATAATATATATATATATATATATATATATATATATATATATATATATATATATATATATATATATATATATATATATATATATATATATATATATATATATATATATATTTTCTAATAATTCAAAGGCCTACCTATCATCTATTATTCCTTACATATATATATATATATATATATATATATATATATATATATATATAATTTCCTAAATTTCTAGGTCACTGTTTGGTACTTTCATGAATATGCTTAAGTAGTTTAAGCATATTTAAATTAGTTCTTAGCACAGCATAAAATGAGAATTTTAATGAGATATTTGAAAAAAAAATTTATTTTAACAATCTTGAAAGATTCCTTGCAGCCATAGCAAGAGAAATTGCTCATTTTGAGTCTAATTATTTTTTTAATGTCACTAACTCATTCAAAAATCTCAGAAGGGCTGATCACCCACAAAAGACAAATGCACAAGAGGACATGACAATGTTGAGAATCTAAAGGGAAATTGATTCATCAGTGATTGGAAACATTGTTCATTATCAAACATAGGGAATTACTGAACTCATACTCCTTCAAAAACATAAAGTTCCATAGTTCATCATTCATTTAGCCAGCAAGTTGCATGAGGCACAATGGGCTATATCCACACAAACTTAATTTTCAGCCAGGCAGCTGGAGGGCTTCCAGTGAACTGTCTTTCCATTAAAAAATTGTCACGTTTAAGATCTGGTTTCTTTAAAAATCAGCGATCTTCACTGAGTGTTAGATATACAATATGAAGTGGGTCTCAGACTGGGCAAGAAGTACCGCATTAAATTCCATTTTCCCCCGCCATGTCTTTAAAATATGACAGTTTATTTTACCATCGTATTTTCAATGGAATTTTTGCACTAGGCTGTTGCATTGGTTGCTACTAACAGTGCTAGTGGTTACAATGATCTTTCATCTCGTTTTACACTTGAACAGCTAAATAAATGCTCAAATCTATTTAACTGAATGTATTGTAATTACATTACAACATCGATGCAGTAAAAACAACTTTGTGAAGTTGAAAATAGTCACATTAAGCTTTCACCGGAAGTTTATCGTTGGCTATAAGTGGCCAGCCCAGAGTCCTGAACTAAACATTATTAAAAATCTCTGGAAATTCCTTGGGGGGGAAAAGTGAGGAGCAAGAAACCAATACAGTCAGTGAACTGAGGAAGAGAGCAGACTGTTCAACTATTCGAGTATTACCTTGTACTTTAAACACGGGTGAAACATGTATCAGAAGAGTTTTCCATTGTGCCTTGAAACTGTTTATCATTTTAACAGGATAAAGCGAACAGAAATGTCATGTCAGCCTATGATTAAAGTCTCCCAGAGCTTTGCTTCTCTGTTTTGCACTCACACACACTCTCAGTCTTTTCGTCCTCATTCTGTTAATGCGCCTTCAACTCTTCTGTGATAAATGTTTAGAGACTGTCCACTGCTAACAGAAAGTGCAGCGGTTCCTGGAAATAAGCTAACAGCTCGGAGATGCAGAGATGCAGTATCTCTGGATTTCTCAGCAGGAGAGACTGTGGTGTGTTTTTGGCTGCCCTCCAAACGCCTCATCCCAGCTGAGGTCAGGTTACCGAGCCGAGGACTCACTGCGAGAGGAGGAAATTAGATAAATCTACATTTCCTCTGTCCAAATAACACCTGAGTCAGCGCTCAGAGAGAGAAAGATAATGTAAAATATTAAATGTACAGTTTATTATTATTTATTATTGCTGTTTTTATTTAATATTTTTTGTTTATTGTATTTTTTATTGATGTTTGTTTTTTATCATTACTTCTATGTAGCCATTTTTTGTTTTTGAGGACCTTATATTGTATAGACACAAATGTTGCAGCTAGCGTACAGTTTTAAGATTCTATCCAAAGCTATTCATTAGTTTTTTTTTCTAAATTATGCAATGAATTGCCTGTCCTTCATTTTAAACATAATTTAATATCACTTGAATCTTTTTTATTATTATAACATTTTAACAGTACAGAAATAGACATGCCAGGGGGTAATTATAAATTAAACACAAATATACAGTAATCAAATGAAAACATTGTAGAATTCACAAAGATTTAAAGTATATAAGGCTTTAAGAGTCTGATACTACTAATATATGAGCAATTCAGTCATCAATACCTTACAATTCATTTTTTTATTGGTAAATTTTGTTAGCAAAATAAGAAAACTAATTAAATAAAAACAAATTTCTCTTGACTAGGATACATAGTAAAGCCAAAAGGTTTCCCCCACAACAAAAAAGAGGTTTAGAACACTGAAAATTATTATTAATAAATTTATCACTCTGTCTCCTAGGTTCTGCGATTGCTTGTGGAAATTCCAAATTGAACCAAAACAAACCATTACAATTGGCTTAAGGTTGGCAAGCAAAATTCGGGACATTGCATTTTACAGTCTATTATTGCAACCTGCAGAACCTGGGAACTTAAAAAAGTGTCCTCTGATTGCAAGGTTGCAGTGACCTCTAATGGATTAAATTGTACATTACATAGAATCTGATACTTGAAATTACATGTAACCCTCACTGTGTATTCAACATCTGAATATATATTTTTTGCACCCTTAAAGGAAAGGGTTTCACTGCTTTAGATGCTACAGACCCTTATTTATGAGATTGATTTTGTGAGGTGTCCCAGTCCTAAAAATTGAAACGCATTTACACTGAAGAAATTATGTCTGCACGATTGTTGCAAACTGTTTATATGGGTTGAATTTAAGCAAAAAAAATTAATTTAGTAATGTTCAACTTAATTTGTTTGTTTAAATTTACCTCAAATAAATTGTTTACAACCACTTAAATAAAATAAAATAAATAAGAAAACTAAATCCAATGAATCATCTGTAAATCTTTTTTTTTTTCAGTGTAGGCTGTTTTATGTCACCTTGGAATTATAAGGCTCTATCTGCGTTCTGAATGATTTTGAGATATTGAGCTATGTAAATATATATATATATATATATATATATATATATATATATATATATATATATATATATATATATATATATATATATATATATATATATATATATATATAGTTTTTGCATTTCATAGCAAACAGCATGTGTGTAACATAAATGTAAACATGTTTTTATTTAATAAGAATATGTAAATATCTCAGTTTTGACAAAAAATGTGAGATAGAATCTTATAATTCTAAGATGACAAATTATTGAATTGATTTAATTTAATGTGTTTTTTAAATTCAAGTTTTTTTCTTCTGGTTCATGACAAAATAATACAAAAACACATATTACAAATGATCACGGCCTAAATGTAAAGCCAGGACGTGGTTACTATGGACAAAATTACAATATTATAAAAAGAAATTGGTGAGTAATTTTAAATTGTGAACCAAGACATTGTCACATCTTCCCACACTGGTATACATACAAGGACCCCTGCGTTGTCCTTATTACGTAATTTATAAAGTAATTGTTCATATGAAGCTGTTTCAGTCATTATATTGACCAATTTTTTTAACTCTGAAATTTTGGGAGTTTTTCAGTTTTTAAGATGACTCTAGCAGTTACTGAAATCCCCACTATGATCACTGTAAGCTCTATTTTTGCAATATTTGGCATCTGTTCCCTATCTCCCAGTAAGCATAACCTTGGTGACAGGTATTAATGCTCCAAGTCATTTACTCAGAATATTTATAGTTTGGTGCCAAAACGGCTGAACTAGTGAACAGTCCTAAATACAATAAATAAATGTGCCTCTTTCTTTTTGACATTTTCAACAAACATTATTATTTGCCAAACTCAATAATTTAATTTTTTAAATATATATATACACCAGACCCGTAGCCAGCCTATTGAAAGGGGTGGTTCTTTTTCTGAAAAAGTGAACTTAAAGTTAAAGTTATTTGCCTCATTTTTCTATTCAATTGTGCAGTTTATTGACATTTTAAGCACTAATCTTTGCTGGATCAGCTTGTCGTGTGGTGATCATAACCACACTTTTTTGATGCACTAAAAATGTTTCTTACAATTTCGTCAAAGTGCTCACTGTACTATTTTACAACAAAGTATTTATTTACAAATTTGGATTTAGACTGTAAATGAATTCACTTTTATAAATATTGTTATGAAATTAGCATTTTAAATAAAAAACAAAACAAAAAACAAAAAAAAGAAATATAATTTTTTTTTATTATTTTATTAATATTAAATAGGAATCTGGTAAAACTTGTTTTAAAATAAAAACTGTAGCCTATGGGCTAATAAAAACTTGCCAGCTCATTCAACTTTCTTCAGTTTCCAGTTTTGTCACTTAAATAATAATTAAAAATTAAATATCTTAAAGCCTTCATATATTCATATATTTTTACAATTTATGATGGCAGATCAGTTAAAAATGGGATAGATGAGCTCATATAGTGGCCAAATTTTGGACTTTGTCTGGCTATGGGCCTATACACTACAGGTCAAAAGTTTGAAATGTTTCACCAAGGCAGCAATTACTTAATCAAAAATACTGTACAAATTGTAAAATGTTATAAATAGCTTCAAAAGAAGTGTATAATTTAATTTAATTATTTATTCCATTGATTTTAGAGATGAATTTTCAGCGGCAATACTCTAGTGCTCAGTCACCTGATCCTTTAGAAATCACTCTAATGTTAACTATTATTATTATTATTGTTATTATTTTTAATAGTAATACTATAGTAATATTATTTGACTTGACTTATTTTTTCTTGATTCATTTAAAGTAGTTTTCCCCACAAATAAGGAATGTTAATATGTTTTTGTGTTATTTACATTAAAAACTGGGCCAACAGCGGATTTTGATCATAACAGTCAGTTTCACAGTGTGTTTTTAAAAGCGATATCTTCACAAATGTGTCAGCAAAAGACAGATACCAACTTAAGTCAACGCCTTCAATTTATCAACATTCACATGAGTATTTCCACAGAAACTGGATTTGAGGATCACTATTACCATGCATATTTACAGTAGGTGTGGGTGTGTATATATATATATATATATATATATATATATATATATATATATATATATATATATATATGTGTGTGTGTGTGTATAGTTTTTAAAGACAATTATTTTGTTCATCAAGGCAGCATTTATTAAATGTAAAAACAAAACCATTTGTTAAATATGTATTAAACAACTCATTTCTTTTTGTATGTAGTTTCAAATGATATGATTACACCAGTCATTATTGCTTTTATTACTATTACCATAAATAATAATAATTTATATTAGAGTGATTTCTGAAGAATCATGTGACTTAAGACTGGAGTAATGAAGCTAAAAATGTATCTTTAAAATTACAGAAATTTATGATTCAATTAAATGATAAACTACTTTTGAACTTGTAGTTCAATAACATTTCACAATTTTAAGGTTTGTATGGTATTTTTGATGAAGTAAATGTAGCCTTGGTGAGCAGGAGAAGCTTATTTTAAAACTTTTAAAAATCCGTCTGACCCCAAACTTTTGACCAGTAGAGTGTGTGTGTGTGTGTGTGTGTGTGTGTGCGTTTTATTTTAGATTTACATTTTGTATAATTTATTTGAATGTCATACATTTTCACCACAATCATCAAAACAACTTTAGAAATTAGTCAAATTCTATTATTGTTATTACCTAATTATATTTGTTTCAGTATAATGTATGTGTGCTTGAAATGATGCCGAGCAGTAATTTGGGAATAATTACCAACATGCATTTTGGTGATCTTCAAAAGAAGAAGAAAAACAAAATCACTCAGAGCAATTTATTTCTATAATTTAATATCCTTCTGTTTGAACCATTTTATGTAATATAATAAACAGACAACAGTAAGACAGAAATCATGTAGACAGCAGCAGTAAGGAAAAAACAAATACCCACAAACGCATAAAATCCTTAAAACATTTTTCAACTTTGAAGTTTGACCTATACATTTGAAATATTTGGTGAAACGCCGCTGTAGTAACATATCCTAATACCTTGTGCAGTAAATATAAATACAGTATTTGGTATTTATCTGGCAGAAAAACCATCAACCATCAAAGAACATCATAGTTTTCAGCCCTCTTTCGAATCTAATAATGCTCAGTATTTCAGACCAAACACTTCAGCTTGTGCTTTGGCATTCAAAGCAAACGGCAATAAAAGTAACTGAGTGTGTGTGTGTGTGTGTCAGCACTGTTGTCGATGGTGCCAGTGAGGCTGTGTTTAGCTGCACAGTATAGAGAATGTAGAGATTCTCTGAACAGAGAAAAAGATGGATTCAGGAGACTCTGATCATGCGTACAGAGGTTGATACTCATTCTTCTTGCTCTTGCAGGTGATCACGCAGACGCTGAGCATCCCAAAAAACTGAAAAACACACAAAACATGCTGTTGAAAATTCACTGATAAATAAAGATGAAGAGGAAGTTAAAATGTGTTGATGTACCTTTATGATAGCAAAACCCAGGATGACCAGCATTGCATAGCTGAGCACATCTTGAAGCACCTGCTCCAGTTTAGCTTCACACCCCTGGGGAAACAACATGTCTTTGTTTTATTTTGTTTTTTCCATGAAACAAAATTGTTCGTTATTGTCAAAAAAAAAAATTCCAAAAGTTTTTTACTTGACAGTTGAAATGAAGCAAATGTTTATACTATATTCTATTTATAAATGAGCCGAATCAACACAATTATTGAGTTTTTTGATACACAACTTAATTGTTTTGTTCAATCCACTTAAATTTGTATTAAAAAAAAAAAAACTATGAAGTTAACTTATTATATATTTGTGTTGGAACAACATGAAATTTGTTTGAAACCCAGCATTTTTTACAGTGTGTGTGTATGCATGCATACATACATACATAGTTAAAGTCAGAATTATTAGCCCCGTTTTTATTTATTTATTTATTTTTCCTAATTTCTGTTTAACGGAGAGCAGATTTTCTTCAACACATTTCTAAACATAATAGTTTTAATAACTCATTTCTACTAACTGATTTATTTGATCTTTTTTATGATGACAGTAAATAATATTTGACTAGATATTTTTCAAGACACTTCTATGCAGCTTAAAGTGACATTTAAAGGCTTAACTAGGTTAATAGGGTATATGCCGAGCTAGTGTTGCTCCCATACTGATAAACTTCCGGTGACCTGTTATTAGGAGTTTTTTTCCCATTTTATAGGGTTCCTTTTACAGCATCGATGTTTTAATGAAATTAAAATACAATCAGTTAAACAGACTTTGGCATTCATTTAGTTGCTCAAGTGTAAACAAGACAAAAAGCCGTTTACTCGCACACGCCTGTCAGAATCGGCAGGCTAGCGTAGAAGCTCCATTTAATATACCGAGGTAAAATAAATGTTCATATTATAAAGACATGGTGGGGAAAATGTAATTTAATGCAGTGCTTCTTGTACAATCTGAGACCCACTTTATATCGGATATCACTCATCCCATGGAGATCGCTGATTTTTAAAAGAAAACAGACCTAAAACGCGCTGATTTTGCATTGGCATATAGTTTACTGGAAGCGGTTAACCCAGGTTATGGGCAAATTAAGTCCTATTAGCATGCTTCGGCATATACCCTATTAGGTTAACTAGGCAGGTTAGAGTAATTAAGCAAGTTATTGTATAATGATGGTTTATTCTGTAGACAATCGGAAAAAAAGAAGCTTAAAGGGGCTAATAATTTTGACCATAAAATGTTAAAAAAAATAAAAATAAAAAAAAAATAAAATTATTTTTTTTATAATATATTTTTATAATATTTTTAAAATATTAGTTTTATTCTAGCCAAAATAAAACAAATAAGACCTTCTCCAGAAGAAAAAAGTATTATTAGACATACTGTGAGAATTTCCTTGCTCTGTTAAACATCATTTGGGTAATATGTAAAAAAGAACGAGGGGGGAGGAGTGAAAACGGTTGAATTATGACTTCAACTGTATATCTATATACAAGCAATTTATAAACTAAACTTGGTTAAGTTTAAAGAACAACAAAATATATAATAAAAAAAGTACAAATATTAAAATGAAAACAAATATTATACAAAAGACAAAATTAAAAAACTATAACACAAATTTCCAATAAAGTATAAGGTTTGAGTACAACATTTACAGAAAAAGCTACAAAGAAATTAAAAAACAGATAAAAAAAACTAATTATTCAATTTTGAACTAAAATGATTGAGATTTAAGACCAATTAAATAAATTTTATATAGCTGAAAAAGATACTAAAATTATAATGAAACTTGATATAAAAAATATCAAATTGTTTAAAAAAAAAATGAGGTTAGAGTACTAAATGTTAACCAGGAAAGTAAATTTAAACAAAATATACAATTTTAAATTAGATGAAAACAAACAAATAATATAACATCAAATTAGTTTGGAGTTCTAGTACCCAAATTAAAACTAATACAAGAATGAGGTACTATAGAAAACAATACTGAACTTCATAGAAATTAAATAGACAAAAGAAATTAAACAGTAGAAAAACAACACCGTTTACTGAATACATTGGCATTCATTATCATAAACGAGTCAGTTTTTCCATTCAAACCTGTGTGTTCAGCAGATCTGGCTGGGAGAGCTGACCAGTGCACTGCGTCATGTTTGCTTTACAGCAGGATTGAGGCACAGTGTTGTTATGTTGGGCAAACCACGATGTTAAAGTCCAGTCGGTCTGGTTTTTCACACCACAGCACTCCAGCTGGAAATGTACAAGTGGACAGTGATGTAAAAAGACACTGACATTGTGTCTGTCATTTTCTGAGTGACCAGAAGAAGATTGCAATAAATTATATAAAGCTTTACCTGAGACTGCAAGTAATCCACTGCATGAGTTTCACTGTTCAGACCATCATACTTCAGGAAGACGTCATTCATTGACTTTTCTAGGTCACCCCTAATCTGTAAATAACATAAAATAACTTGTAATCATTCAGATTCCCACATCATATATTAAAGGGGCTATGAAGAAATAACTGAAAATATGCTTGTACTAAAAAAACATCTAAGTTTTGGTAATTAAAAATGATCTAAAAATCAATCTTCCAAATAGACAGTTTTTGGAAAAGGCCTTTTATTATGTAGGAGTGAGTCTAAACTGTGCCTCTACAAAAGGTAAACACCGACTTCTTCATAACGGACTCTTAGGCTCCTCCCACCAGCAGGTAAATAACAAAAAATGTAAAAGCATAGAAGCCAAATAATGAAGTTGGAGGACACATTTTGGACAAGACATTGCGCCCTTCAAGGGATGAGTGTTGTGATAGTAACTGAAAAATAGTAACTAGTTACAGTTACTTCATTCAAAAAGTAACTCAGTTACTTTATCAATTACTTACATCAATGGTCTCAAATTCCTGGAGGGGCGCAGCTCTGCATAGTTGAGCTCCAACCACCTCCAACTCACATCTGCTTAATAGTCTCCAGTAGTCTTAAAAACCTTGATTAGTTTGATAAGCTGTGTTTGATTAGGGCTAAAGCAAAACTGTGCAGAGCTGTGGCCCTCCAGAAAGTGAGTTTGAGACCTATGATGACTTACACCATAAAGTAACCATTAATCCCACAATGCGTCTCCGCTGTAAACAAGAAGATGTACGCTAGACTGCAGCAAAAATTTATTCATTTACAAAGTATTGGACAAACACGTTATCTTTACAAGATGACGTTGAATGAGGAGTTCCTATATTTAAAAAAATAATGCATTACAGTATTAGTTACTGTCAAAAGAAATGTCGTTACAGTAACATGTTATTGTCCAACACTGCAAGGGATGCACCAAACTTTCAGCTGACAAAAACAGCCAGTTTTTCGTTTGAAAGAGCAAAATGACTGTAAATGTAAGACAAAAAATGGCTATACTGCATCACTCTGCCCAGCCGTAGGCAGTGCACAGAATTTACCCACTCTCCAAATGTAGTCACAGTGCAGCATGAAGTGGCTTTCCCACAAGACACAGGAACCGATGCATTATAAAACCCATTGATTTCAATGTGTTGCAGTGCCTAGTTTGCGACTAACTTGATCGAATGCAGCGGTCAGAGTTCAAATTAGCTACCTGTATACTTATCGAAGTATTCATAGTTATGCATTTAGCAACACGCCAACAGGACATTTCTATGTAGTACAATTTTTTTGCTGCTTGCAATGGACCGTTTACACAAGTCACAATGGTGCGTGTTATCTTAAATCCTCAAAAAAAAACATTGGGAGATTTTACCCAAAGTAGCTGATAAAATTATGCCTCGACTCATGCACTGTCAATACATTTTTACTCTCAATAAAATGTTTATTTTATTAGCTTGTGATTTTTAAAATCTATATCATTTTATTTTATTCAAGTTGTTGAGTCAATAAAAAAATAAAAACTAAATAAATTTTATATATATATATATATATATATAATAACTAATAATACCAGTGGTTGTGAGTCTAATAAACCACAGCTATTCAAACATTGATGATGAAGAAAGAAAATACCCCAAAACAGGCTTTTAATTCTAAAAATCACTACTTTTTGATGGAAAAAAATATATATTTTTAAACTTGGCGCTTACACAATAGTACAAAATAAAACTATAAAAAGTTAGTTTTAAATACAATAAAAACTTTTTTTTTAATTACTTACTCTGCCCCTGTAGATGATGCCGAACACAAAAGCGGTGACTTCAGCTGCGAAGATTAGCATGATGATGATAAGAAACTGAAGGGAAAGTCAGAGAAAAGTACACTGTATTAAAACTTGCATAATAATGAAAGCAGTTCTGCTTGAGAAAAAAAAGGAACAGAAACCACCTCATGGACCCTGTTGATTTTGTTTAAATCAGGTAAACAAACAAATGCTTTGGGCACAGAATACAGACAAGACGGTTCAAACTTACAAGGCCTAAACCAACTTTCGACTCTCTCAGAGTTGCACAGCAGCCGACGAACCCAATGATGAACATGACCACCGCTACACCAATGATGATGGCGGCTGGGATGAGGGTGTGTCTGTCAGACATGAAGTCCTCAAAGTTGTTGTAGCTCTTGATCACATAGGAGCCAACATATGCGAGGGCCGCTCCAGCAGCCTGAAAATAACACCAGCACAACAGATAGGTCACTTACACGATCGTTGGATTTACAGAATTATTCCAAAATATACTCAAGAACGACTTATGTTTTTGATAAACATTAGAGTCATGTGGTGTAACCAAAGAAAAAAAAAAAAAAAAAGAGAGAAGTTTTAAAATGTTACTTTAGACCTTAAAAAAATTGGCCCCTTTAATGAAAGACAAAGTAAGGTAAAGTAAACTGTCATATGGTGTGACTCCCCAAAACAACTTACATCAGTTTTTTTAACTAAATATAAAAATAAATAAAACTTAATAGCCAACCAAATATTTAATTTAAATCTAAAAAAGTCAATCATGTGAGCGAATATCATGTATTCATAGTGTAAAAAAATGATAAATTTATTATTGTTTTATGATTACACCAATTATGTCAAAAGGGAACATAAGATAACAGTTCTAAAAATAAAAATAAAGCCTGTAAATGTTGTAGTATATAAAATAATATTTTATTAACCATGCTCAAAACTTTATTATATTACTTAATTATATTATAATTATATAAAAACCAAATTACAACAACATTTAATAATTTTTATTTCATTTATCAGTGATTTGTTAATCTAGCACAAGTGCAAGTTAACATGATAAAAAGCACACAAAATCAAGATGCAACCTAAAATTCTTAAATAAAATTAATTAGTTTAAAGATAATAATAATAATAATAATAATAATAATAATAATAATAATAATAATAATAATAGATTAATACTAAAAATACCTATAGTTAAATATTGCATTACATTAAAAAATAAATAAATCAAACAGTACATTCATAAATAAATTAGAATAATATAAACCAGACAAATCTGAAATTATTTAACAATGATTTAAAAAATATATATGGTTTCAAAACCCATCAAAATAAATGGCATATTAACTTTAATATTTTCCCAAAACACTTAAATACATTTAAAAATAAACTAATATTTTTAAACCCAAGACACTTATTTGTCATGTCATTGTTTTCAATAATAATAAATGATTCACCCTCTCTCACATGATGTCATAACATGTCATTTCATAACAAATACACTATGGAATTCTGGGTTTATGTCTGACTTGCAAAGCACATGATTCAGTGTGTTTCTTCAGCAGTTCATCACGAGACCATGAGTAACCCTCTCCTGCCCTCTAATCTTTCCTGGAACGCTGGTCTTGTGCCTCAGCTTGAGCAGAAGCAGAAGCAGAAGCAGCACAGCGAACACACAACCCCCTGACATACAAAACTACACAAGACTACAGCCATAAGTCAGCTTAAAGAAGACGATCAGACGACAAGACTTTCACTTCCCAGTTTTTGTTACTTGATTCCGCCTCACAAAACCAAAATGCATGATGTGCAGAAATGACCAGAGAAAGAAAACAAAGGGGCCACAGAATACTTGCACTTTTTTTTTAAATATCATATGATTCATAGTTATTTATTATATTGATATTTTACAATTATATATACATATAAATTGAATCAAATGTTTGAGTTAATATAAAGAAATATTGAATATACAAAAAAACACATAACAATTGGTTGTTTAGCTTTTTTTTGGCATAACAATAATTTATCTGTTTTTGAACTTAAATATAATTTACTCAACATATGACTTTGTTTCGAACTAGTTCAGTATAAATAAAGTGGAAAACACTTTAGGGCAATTTTGAAGCGAATATTTTTTTTTTCCCCCAAGCATAGTTTTTATTATTCTCTGAGCAAAATAAATTAATCTGGCTACTTTGAGGAGTTCATGCCCACTGAAGCCAGAAATGAGTGTTGACAGCTAATAAGCCAAGTCTGATGACTAGGCCTACCTGATGGCACGGACAAGTTGGGCATCAACAATCTTTATTTTCAAAAACCGTAAGTCACGTTAGAAGCTCTGACAGCTACTGCCTGCTAAGTAAGATGTAAACAAGTGTAAACAAGCTTGGTTTAACGTTGCAAAAGACACAAAAGCACTTTCACATGGTTTTCTTAAGAGCATAAACAAACAAGTGACTCCCCCTAAATTAAATTAATTCCAGAGAAAAGCTCGCTGTCAGAAGCTAAAGACTCTGACTAAACATTCATTTAGAGTCTGCGGGAAGACAAGAAACAAACTCTGGATGAATACAAGCTATTGTGATGCTTATAAAGAACATTTCTGCCTGCAAATAGCTACAGTATAGCGACCACCCTGCTGACAAATCCAGCTTAAACCTGCCTAGGATGGTTGGCTGGTTTTAGCTGGTCAACCAGCCTGGTTTTAGAGGGGTTTTGGCCACTTCCAGTCTGATTTGCAGCCATTTCCAGCCTGGACTTAGCTGGTCAGGCTGAAAAGTGACCAGCTAAAACCTTCTAAAACCAGCTTGACCATCCTGGTTTAAGCTGGGCATAGCTGGTTTTGGCTGGGCTTCCAGCCTGGCAAGGCTGGTCAAGCTGGCTTTAGCTGGTCGTCTCCCAGCCTGTCCAGCCAAGACCAGGCTGGAAATGGCTGGAAACCAGCCTGGTGGCCAAAACCCCTCTAAAACCAGCTAAAACCAGCCAACCATCCAAGGCTGGTTTAAGTTGGATTTTTCAGCAGGGCAAACAAATACGATGTCAATATTTTAGGGCACAAAACGTTATAGATATAATGTCTAAGCTTTATTTATGGAAACATAATTTATGACTAAAAATATGACAAACTTACCCAAAATATTAAACTGAGTAACAAAAGAATGGTTTTTGATGTTATAATTCCGCAATCCATGTCTGCTGCTGAAAGATGGTAGTCGATGAAGCGATGAAATGTTTCCAACTGTTTGGGACGCTTTCTTTTCCCTCGTGTTCTTTATAGATCAGTAGTTTGTCACATGCTTTCTCATACTCGCATTGCGGGAACTCCCCCCAGGTCCTAAATACCGCACACATCATTCATCCGCGCTGCTCTGTCCATGTGCGGAAATACGTGTGGCGTGACGCGCAATACTGAGACTTTAGGCTCGTTTGAGGTGCGCCTCGCCTTGACTGCATTGTAAACGAGAGCAGGCGTGTGCAGTAAGAGGAGGGCTCAAAAATTACATCAGAAGTCGGACACCTGCCGAATCTCGCTGTTTAGCCACCTGGAAACGTCACCAGTGGCGGAGATCTCGTTCGCGTTTTTTATCGCAGACGAATGACTTCATGAAAAAATACTATGGTGATTTATAGAAAATATTATAGCATTTTTGAACATGTTTATTCAGTATTGGGTTGTGTTTATAGTTGTTGTGATACCAGAACTATAAAATTTAAATAGGCTATTTTATAACATGGTTCAAAAGCACTACAGTATACATTACTATAGTATTTTTTAATGTGGGAGTGGATGCAATAGAAATATCACTGTTTTTACAGAGATGGTCAGAATTACAGAAGATGAACAGCTCATTAACTAAAAGGGTGTATTAAAAATATAATTCTGTATATTCAGCAAACGTTAAAAGAATAACAAAATAAACAGCTTATACAGCAAGAAAACTTTCAAGAATCCTAATTTGGCTACATTATAAATGAAGTAGTCATAGCAAGATGCTTTTGAGTGACAAGTCATGACAAATGTTTGTTTGACAAATAAATTCTTAGGGGGTTAATTATATTGACATGCTTATTAGGTCTATATAAACTGCTTTTACTCCAGCCAGACTAAAATAAATAGCCCAAGACTTTCTCCAGAATAAAAACTATTAGACTGCAGGAAAAACTGTGGAAATGTTCTTGGTCTATTAAACATGACTTTTGACTCCACATACATATACATATGTGTGTGTGTGTGTGTGTCTTGTTTACTACACCCTTTTTACTTCTCATATGAAACCACACAAAGATGAGGCATAATGACAAAACAGTCTGATTACCTTTGTATTTCTGAATATATGTATATATTGGATTGACTTTAATGGAATAATGCTGCATAAAAATTACAATACAAAATTCACACAAACATACAAAAAGTGAAAATGACAACAAACAGGACTTAAGACTGAGAGAGAAATAAAATACAGCACACACACACATCCTAATGATTTATTAATAACATTTAGTTATATTACATAGGTCACAATATGTTTTACAAAGATGTGTTTTGTTGTTGTTTGCGTGTAAATCTAAATAAATAACCTTAAGTAATGCTCTTTATGACTTTTTTTTAATTATCAACGAAAATACAAAAGGTATTCAATAAATCCAGGTATAAACCTTAGTTAAACAAGATAATAAAGCTTAATGTGTCAGTCTCATCCAATCAGCATTAAGCTGTGTCGTCAGCCAGTCGTTTCCCATCATGCTTTTAGTAACGCAGTCTTTTGAGAGCAACTGCGGCCGACTGCTTTATCCGAGGTACCCGGCTCGCGATCGCGAGAGTTTTTTGGCGCACGTCAGCGTGACATCAGAGCGAGGCGAAGGCAAGGCGGACACAGTTCTAACCGGCATGCATCTTGCGGTGATCACCGGTGATCGATTCTGCGCAGATTTCGGCCAAGTCAAACGAGCCTTTTAGAATAGTATATAGACTCGTGATAAAGAAGCTCTGATATCCTGTATAAAAGCTGCTCTGCATTTACACAAATGAAATAAAGCATTTTTTTTCCTGGCATGGATGGGTGGTCCTTAAAGTTTACCTTTTTTCTGTTTAGACTAGTGAAACAGAAAAGAAAAGAAAGAAAACTATTCATTGAAAGGTTTTTTATTTTGAGGAATTAAAAATGTTGTTTTATGGCATCACTGTGAAAACCCTTTTTTGGTTATTCCTGGTCTCACTTTTAAGAGTGTATAGCTACAAGTTACAAATATAAATATTTGGTTATAAATATGTGAAGTTTTTTCATTCATTAATTTTCTTGTCGGCTTAGTCCCTTTATTAATCCGGGATTGCCACAGCGGAATGAACCGCCAACTTATCCAGCAAGTTTTTACGCAGCGGATGCCCTTCCAGCCGCAACCCGTCTCTGGGAAAAATATATGAAGTTTTACATGTACTGTATAAAGTCCATGTCTAATAGTTTAATATGACGACTTTTACTCTTAGTTTTGTTTTAAAACGAGCAAAAAGATGTAGAGAATATTTCTTCAATGAAATACATTTTTAAATAAAGATACAACACATTAATCCAGAAATAACTGCTAAAATAAAGAAATAACATTTCAAACTGAGGGTGTCATGGTGGCGCGGGTATTAGGTCGCCTCACAGCAAGAAGGTCGGTGGTTTGAGGCCTGGCTGAGTCAGTTGGCATTTCTGTGTGAAGTTTGAATGTTCTCCCTTATGTTGGGTTTCTTCCGGGTGCTTCAGCTTCCCCCACAGCTCAAAGACATGTGGTGCAGGTGAATTGAATGAGCTTAATTGTGTGTTTATGCAGAAGTGTATGGGTGTTTCCCAGTGTTGGGTTGCACATGGAAGGGTATACACTGCGTAAAACATATGCTGGATAAGTTGGCAGTTTATTTCGCTGTGGCGTCCCCTGATAAGTGAATTGACTAAGCCTAAAAGAAAATAAATGAATGAATGAATGAACGAATGAGTTTCAAACTGATATTTTTAATGAAGGTTTTTAAAAATGTTTTTTTTTTCATCATACTTGATTCATTTGGCTTTTATGGCTAATATATAATAATATGGAACTCATAAGGATCAAAATAATGTGTGTTTGTATCTCAACTATACAGTTAAATCAGCACAGTTGATAAAATGTAATTTCTTTCTTTATTAAAAATTCACATATGTCCTTCATGCATGCAGACATTATTTTATCTATCTATATATCATGAAAAATGAACATGTTTTCAGACATATAGGAATATTTCACATAATTTACATTGTTTTTATACTGTAAACTGTATTTCTATTGAACTACACTGAAAAAAGTATTTATTGGATTTACAACATTTTAAGGTAACTTGTTGCAAACAATTTATATGGGCTGAATTTAAACAAATTAAATTGAGTAATGCTTGACTTAAGTTGTTTGTTTAAATTCAGCTCATATAAATTCTTTGCAAACACTTACAGTACCTCAACATTTTTTTTGTATTTTTGTAAATCCAATGAATATTTTTATCATTGTACCCTAACTCTACCCGTGTGTAGTTTTATTTTTTGAAAATAAAAGTCTTTTATAAGTCTTTTGGAAAATAGGCAATGTCCTCATCAGCAATGTCCTAATAATTCACTATCTCCTTGTAAATCCTTTGTCACAAGCACACAGACAGACAGGCAGGCAGACAGACAGAAGAACACATTGGACATTTCTTATGTCCTTATCTTCATAATTGTTTTGCATGTACACAAATGGCATTTTCTATTGCCCTGCAGGACACTTACAGAAAAGTTTGTGTGTTTTTACTTTCTCAAAAAAAAAAAAAAAAAAAAAAAAAAAAATATATATATATATATATATATATATATATATATATATATATATATATATATATATATATATATATATATATATATATGTATATATATATATATATATATATATATATATAATTTATAAGCCTTTTGAAAACTAGGACATGGCCAATAAGTCACCTTCTTTTATATATTACTTATGTCATACCCAAGTCATTACTTAACCAATAAGCGAGGTAAGCAGCTGCTTAGGGCCCCGGGAAATTAGCGGGCCCCAGGAAGCCTATATTAATCATATAGCTCTTTTATACATTTCTATCATATGTTATAAAAACTCTTTATAACCATTACGATTTTAATGTTATTACTTCTTTTCAATCTTCTATTTTAAACACCTGTCAGATGATGAGCACTGTGAGCTTGTTAAGAGAGGGTCTGCTGAAATAAAAGATCATTTCCAAGTGAAAAGTGATGCTCGCCAATTCACAAAATGCAATTATAAATTTTATATAACAAATGGTGAAAATATTAGTTTCAATTCACAGAAATTGATACACAAACATTAAAATCTAATCAGATTTATGGGCAATTAACTGTATTGTTAGTTTGCAAACTTGTTTTTTCTTTGTCAATTTAATGTATTTTGTTTTACATTAAGAAGATAAAGGTTACACTTTAAATATATTTTAAAAATGCAGTTTATTTACAAAATACAAACAAAAAACTAATCAACACTCTCATAAAAAAGGTAAACCGTGGTACACATAATGTACCTTAAGAAACAGTTTTGTACCTTTGTAAAAGTTGTACCTTACAGAAAAGACATCTTATGATACTGTTCTGTACCTTTTATGGTACAATTGAAAAAGGTACACAATTGTTCTCATAAAAGAAATACATAGTGTTGGACAACTCCTTTATTACAATATTTATGAAAATATATATTACTGGAAAGGCAAAGTGATTTTATGAATAATTTACATTTTAAAACATGAATCAACATTTAAAAGCATATGATTAAAGAAACTCTGAAACATTCATTATTAAGTAATACAAAACAACTGGTAAAACAAAACTATCGGTATTGTAAACTAAACATTTAAGAATTTTTTAATAAACATTTAGTAAGCATTTTCTAACAAATACATTTTCATTATTGATATCCGTACCTTTTGGCATTCGCTTTCTACTATATGCACGTGAGCTGGCAAAAGTCCTGCATATGCAAAGTTCATGCAGACATTTAGTACTGTAAAACGAATCAAACATTGTGCATATCTCGTTACAATACTTTTGCATAATTATATTTCTGTTTTAACATTGATAAATAATTATAATAATAATATATTACAGAAATATAATAATGAAAATAATTAGAAAAAAACAACAACAAAGGGACATTTTGGTTTCCCATGGTACAAATCATGCCCTTAAAGGTACAGACTGCAATGGTAAAATTTGTTTCTTTGTCTTAAGTTACGATTCTGCTCCATAAAAAGGTACTGCCAGTGACAAAGGTTTGCACCTTCTTTGGTACAATATTGTACCATTTTGTCTGATGAGTATATATACAGAGAAAGAGAATGATTAAGTTTCAACCTGGAATTGCTTAGTGCCCCCAAATCACTAAATCTGCCCCATGCTTATATGTCTCACATACACTCACACACACAAACACAGCCTCTGCATATGCATTTTATTATCTACGATTGACAACTGCATACATTGCGATAAGGCTGTATCAACTGTATGCACGCTACCACCTCTCATATTTCACAAAATGATATGCTATCTTTATAACATTCAGTTTAGAAAATGTCCATTAATAACAGACATTGAAATAAACATCTTGCCTTTAACTCTTTTAACAGCAAGCCTCTGAATTGAATAAATATGATAAATGTGAGTAATTAATAAAATGTTATTCTTTTAGGATGAACTAGCACTTTATGCTTCAGTTAAAGGAGAAAAGGTTATTTATAACAAAATGAAAATCCTACTTAGTAGTAAAAATAGCTGAAATGTATTCAGAGAAGTCCCACGATCAAAGACAATGATAACATAATGAAAAATAACGTGCATGCCTACCGTGCTCAGCATAATTGAGTACACCCCATTTTGAAAATTTATATTTTTGTAGGCCATATATTTTGGTGCATTAAATCAAAAAAGATTTATCAAACAGGCCATATATTTTGGTGCATTAAATCAAAAAAGATTTATCAAACAGATTTATTTATGAAATTAATAATTTAGTCACCAAGCATATTTAGAAATTGAAAGATAATGCATTGAAATTCAAGCAAAATATTGCAAAAAAATTGCAACCTACAAAATATCAACTCAATTTTTCATTGTTTTGCTTCTCTTGATTTCTCTTCTGTTTAAAATTTGCATTTAATATTTTTCTATAACATAAATTTGGCTGTACTAGTTTTTGGACCATTATTGTAAGTTATTTTGTCAGATTAGCTCCAGATTTTGCTTCAGTACTGATTAATCTATTTAATGTATATGCACAAATATAATATTGTAGAGCTTCCTATTAAAAGATTTAAAAGATAGATATACTTATAAATGCCGAGCACTGTAAATTCATGTGCAGATAAGGTCTTTAACACATTTTTATTATGTGCTGCAAAAACAATGCATTAAAACGGCTGCTTGTATAAAAAATGAATCACCAATTAATAATTATTAAATCTGCTTAATACTTTAGACTTTATTTTTTGATATTTCCATTTTTCTGTTTGATTAATAATATTAATTTTAACATGCAAAATGGATAATTAGGTTGTAAACCATAAAATTTAAAACAATGTAGTGTAGAACCTACTCAAAAGCCTTTTATTTAGGATAAAAATGTATTATTTTTTCTTATTAGTATGACATTTGTCAATAAATAGGCTATTAAAACACTGAATAGGGGCAGAGCTTTGTTAAACTGGTGAAAAAGATTTAATAAAAATCACAATAACAATCTAATCAGTAATTACTTTTAATAACAACAACAACGTTAATAAAAACATGACCAGAAACTTATGGAGCAAGCAAAACAACCAAAAGGGTCCTTTTAGGTCATTAATCAACCAACTGACATGGCATCAGAGATAAGGTTTATGCAGTCTGGGAGACTCCCTTCCAGTCGCATTACTCTCTAGAAGATTTTCTACAAACTTATAAAATAAAAACGTAAAAATAATAATAAATTAAACTAAGATCGGTTTAAAAACTATTTTAGCAGACCTGGATGACATTTAACATCAGGTTTCAGACATTTCATCCAGATAGTTCTGAATGTGTTTTCAACAAAAAAATAATAATAAAAAATAATATTAAAAAGTTATCAGTGTTATTGCAGTTTTATTTTATTTGTTTAATGTCAGTGATTTATAGGGCCATAATTTGCTAAAACTCCGAAATACGAAAATGTGTTTTAGTTGGTTGAAAATGTATAATTTGTTCAAAAACGCTGCAAAATAAATCCCCTTTTAAATTCAGGATAATTTAACTGAGGCCCGATTTAATTTAAAATAAGCCCATTATAAGTAAAACCCGTTTTAAAATCATATATTTATACAAATTCCAGAAACTGTCCTGTCTTAATACATCACTGCACACAAATTCTTCTGACTTGCAAATAAAAAAACAATGTAAAACTTTATTAAGAGGATGATGCGTAAAAGATAAACGTCCCTTTGTCCATTTCTGTATTTTTTGATCGACGATGCAGGTCCCTTTATTATGTTGAGAAGCAAAAAACTTACACTTTCTAGATGTCCAAAAACACAAATTATTGCCGCTAACAAAAAGGCGCTGAAATCAAGATTGCTAGAGTCTACACGGTTCTCACTGTGCCTATATTAATTGCGCGCGCCCACCCGCCCTTCAACTCGCTCTCATCCAGCTCAAACAAGCGCTCAGCCATGTCCACAGCCGCAGCATCGGCGCCGACCTCTGCTCCCAAAACGCCAAAACGGAGGTCCAAGGCCAAGAAGTCTGGAGCCAGTGTGTCTGATTTGATCCTGAAGATCGTGTCTTCCTCAAAGGAGCGCGGTGGAGTCTCTCTGGTGGCCCTGAAGAAAGCACTCGTTGCCAATGGTTATGATGTGGTCAAAAACAACTCGCGCGTCAAACTGGCAGTGAGGCGACTGGTGGCAAACGGCCGCCTGATTCAGACCAAAGGCACCGGAGCATCAGGATCATTCAAGATCGGCTCGAAAGCTGCTAAAAAGCCCAAGAAGGCAAAGGCGAAGAGAAAGACGCCCAAGAAGGCAAAGAGAAAGACGACTAAGAAGCCTGCTGGGGCCAAGAAATCTCCAAAGAAGAGGAGAAGAAAGGTTCTGAAGAGTCCCGAAAAAGCCGACGAGACAGCCGCGGTCAAGAAGAGCCCAAGACCCAAGAGAGCCAAACGAAGAGCTTCCAAAACAAGCAGAGCAAGAACAGCCAAGAAATAATTGATTTAAAGCAAAATCACTGTTCTTATAATTTATAAAGATTTGCTGCATTAGTTTAATGCTTTGTAAAAAATAAAATAATTCTTAATTGCACTAAACTTGGTGTTTTGATTATTTTAGTAGCCTAAATTATTCATGCTGTTAGAAAGTAGCCTATAGATTTCATTATTGTTATTATTATTATACAGTTGATATCAGAATTATTAAACCCTCTTTGATTTTTGTTTCTTTTAAATTTTTTTTTGCTAAATTTTGGTTTACAGAGCAAGGAAAAATTCACAGTAGGCCATGTCTGATAATAGGCTATTATTTTCTTCTGGAGAAAGTCTTATTTGTTTTATTTCGGCTAGAATAAAAAGCAGTTTTTAATTTTTTTAATAAACGCTTTATGGTCAAAATTATTAGCCCCTTTAATCTTAATCTATATTTTTCGGCAATTTACTTAATGAACCATTGTTATACGATTAACTTGCCTCCTAACCTGCCTAGTTAACCTAATAGTTGAGCCTTTAAATGTCACTTTAAGCTTTTTAGAAATGTCTTGAAAAATATCTAGTCAAATATTATTTACTGTCATCCTGGCAAAGATCAAATAAATCAGTTATTAGAGATGAGTTATTAAAACTATTATGTTTAGAAATGTGTTTAAAAAATATCTCCGTTAAACAGAAATTGGGGAAAAATAAACAGGGGGGCTAATAATTCAGACTTCAATTGTTTATTATTTATAATTACTTGTAATAGCAAAAGTATCACAGGTGGTGAAAGTAGTAGCAGCAGTAATACACTAATTGCAGCATGTTACTCATTTTCTATACAACAAAGTTCTCATTTTTTAGAGCTAATAAACTATTTACCCACACTGAAATTTGAATGTGCTAATTATATTATTACACATATACGGCAAAAGTTCATATACAGTAGGTTTCACATAGCCTATATAAAAGTCGTCACATAAAACATAAATATATTGCAAAATGGCCGTTTACTTATTATTATTATTTACACATATTAAAAAAATATGTACATACATGCTAAAATAGGCCAATACATTATATAGCCTATTCATTAATATATTGCATGAACGAACACATATTTGAACATGCATATCTTGCAGTATAGTTGAAAAATGTAAAAGTCCATTTTTGCAATATTTTGAATTGTTGCATAAATCTTTGTTATATATTTTAGATAAAATTTGAATATGAACTTGTACTGTTTGTCATATATTATGATTCTTATCAGTAATGCTGATTTAGTGATCTAAGATACATTAAAATAACTTTATTCGGGCAGTTTGGCATTGAAATGATAATTACGTGTGTAATTGTGTATGGTTTATGTTATTCCACTAGATGGTGTTGTTTGAAAGCATTAAGCTCTGCAGTCGCCCATAAGTTTATACATTTGGCCAAGAGCTTTTAAACTGCTGCTTTTCGGATAACTCCATCTAGTGGATTAACGTGCATAAAGCTCATGCGTAAATACGCACGCAATTAAATCACACAAACGTGCGCAGTCACTTTCTACATGAATACTCTTGAACTTAAAGCAACTAAAACGAATAAACAATAGATCGGAAAATAACGTAAAAGGTCAACATTTTATGATCATGTCATAAACCTAGTTATAAAAATGTTAGTTTGGGAATAAACGTCCCTTTACCTATGGAATTTTAACATTAATATTTTTAATCATGCAATATAAATTATGGTTAATACTCAAAAATATAATAATACCTGAAAATATATCTGTTAGCTTGACTTCTGTACAATTGAGGCTATTGTTTATGATGTAGGATGTGAGCATGTAACAGAATTTCCATTATATTTATGTCATTAGTGACAAAGTGACATTAATTGTGATATTTGTATTACGAGGAGATAACTTTTAAAAAAAAAACTTCTTTTATTGAAGATGTTACAATTCATCCTTGTGATTTAAAAAAAAAAATCTCTTATTCTAAAGCAGGTAAAGAGCATGCAAACATTCTCTTTAATGAAGTGCTTCATAAACAAACCTTAAAAGCACTGTGGGGTGAATATTATGAAGATATATCACATTACATTTTGCTTTATACATTAAAAATATATTGTATTATTAGTTATTTCACATGCTGACAACATTGTCATACCACTTAAGCTAGAAGCCTTTTTAAATCCAAACATTTCTTTTTTTATTTTTATTTGAGCCTTTTTGTAATATATTTGATAATATTGATAATATTAAACTTTCTTTGGAATAATCACTTACTTGATTGTGTTTCTGATTTTTTACAAATGTGATGAGGTTTGTTGTGTCTATAGCACTGTCTGCTGCTATTGTGCTTGCAGTGTTACATCCATTTGTTTAAGTAATTTGAATCAACTGCATATTTTAAATAATATGACCATGGTTGTCAAGTGAAACAAATTCACATGAAAAAGATTTATTGAAATTAAATCACCAACTCCAAATAGACTAGCAGGGGTGTCAAACTCAGTTCCAAAAGAGCCGAAGCCCTGCACAGTTTAGTTCCAACCCTAGTTCAAACAAGCCTGAAGGACTCAATTAGTTTGATCAGGTGGGTTTAATTATGGTTGGAACTAAACTGTGCAGAGCTGCGGCCCTTTTGGAACTGAGTTTGACACCTGTGGACCATAGTGTGTTCCTGAAACACATTAACATAATAAAAATAGCAGACAGTACACTTTTTAAATGTTTTTTTATTTATATATATTAAACTAATTTTAGGTTTTTAAAAGTTAAACTTCAACTTTTAAGTAAAGCCATGTTTTAAATTAGTTTATTTGATGCAAGTTGACATGATTTGTAAGTTTATTTGTTTCAACGCTAACAATTTATTTTGATGGTCCATTTGAGTATTAGTAGACTGTCTGCTTAATATCTGTTGATACTGCTCCTTCAACAGAAACTTTGGAAGTCATGTCAACTTACACTAATGCCAACCCCAACCCTAACCCCAACCTAACAGTCCACTTATAATCTAATGAGAATTAGTTGCAATGTAACTTAAATTCAACAAACAAACCATCAAAATAGGGTGTGACCGTTTCAACTAAGGCAAGGCAAGGCAAGTTCATTTATATTGCACATTTCATATACAGTTTCAATTCAAAGTGCTTTACATAAACAAGCAAAAAAAAGAAACAAACAATAAAATGATTAAAAACAGATAAAAACAGATTAAAATGTGTTAAAACAGGTCATAAAAGAATAAAAAAAGAAAAGAAAGACATAATAGTGCGATCTGTCGGACGTAGCACAGTGCTCATTCAGTAAAGGCACAGCTAAACAGATGTGTTTTCTGTCTTGATTTGAATGTGCCTATTGTTGGAGCACATCTGACATCTGAAATTATTTGAAAGCAGCAGAAATGTTTTTACAGCTATTACAAAATTTACTTAACAAGAATCCTTTAAAATATGACAATTTATTGCCAATAATTTACAGTAAGTTTTGCAGTACTTTAATATTACAAATTATACAACTGTGCTGGCACACAAAAAATAACTTAATCCAGCACAACAACAACAACAACAACTACAAAAAGCATATTTCCTTTTGCTTTTTCTTGTTCACTCAACTTTTGGAAACATCAACTGCACTGACCTAAAATTATACAGTATGTCAGTAATACAAAAACACTTAGTTAGGTTAACATAAGATTATTAGTTTTCTGGAGAGGTGAACTACTCTGTAAGAAACCTTTTTAAGTTGTGCCAACTAAACATTTTTATCAGCAGAACTACAATGCTTGATGAGTGAACAAAAAAACAAACAAACCTTATTTCCTTTTGTTTTTTCTTGTGTACTTAACATTTTTTTCACCTTTATTTGAAACGACAGTAGGGAGTATGGACAGGAAAGTGTTGGGAGAGGAGAGGGATGAGCATAGAACCAGGAGGTAGGAATCAAACTCAGGTCACTATGAACACCGGAGTGCCAGGTGTCAACACACTAACCACTACACCATCAACTCCAACATTTACTTGAAAACATCAGTTGAGTGAACAAAAAACTCTTGTGGAAATTGGTACTGAGAAATAATACATTATCACAACAAACAAAACAGAGACAAATGTTAACAAAACAATTATTAGAAACAGAATTAGAAACCGGACAGGAGGTAAAACAATAATGATAAACAAGACAAGGATCAAAACATGGCAGGACAAAGACAGTTTTTTGTTCACTCAACCTCAGATATTTTAGGTCAGTGCAACTGATGTTTACAAAGGTTGTATGCATGTCAACACCAATGGTGTAGTGATTAGTGTGTTGACACAAGGCACTCCAGTGTTCACACTGATGCTGGTTTGATTCCCACATCGATGTCCTTTGCTAATCCTGCCTCTCTCCCCATGCTTTCCTGTCTATACTCTCTACTGTTGTGTCAATTAAAGGTGAAAAAAGTTAAGCACAAAAGAAAAATCTAAGGATATAAGGATTATGTTTTTTTTTGTTCACTCAAAATCAGGCATTCCAGTTCTGCAGACAAAAAATGTTCAGTTGGCACAACTTAAAAAGTTTTGTTACAGAGTAGTTCACCTCTCCAGAAAACTAATAATCTTATGTTAACCCAACTAAATGTTTTTACTGAAAAATAATTGAATGTCAGTGCAGCTGATGTTTTTTTAAAAGTGGAGAGAACAAAAAAAGTGAAAGGAAATAAGGATTCATTGTTGTACCGACTTATTTTTTTGAAGAAAATTCTGCTATAGGGCTTTCATGATCCCCTATGCTCACAGCAGTTTTAGGAGATGCTTATAATAAAGAGGATTTGAAAAACCTGCTAATCTTGTACATTTCTAAAACAAGAAGCCAACCAATTTCAATTCCTCCTCTTTCAAAGCCAATGGAAAATTTAAAACGCACAGTCTCTTGCGTCATCAAAACCATTCTGAAGACTCATCAAAATCCTTCGTAGCTTTAAATATAAATCTATTATTGAACAGATCATACTTCACAAAAAATATAAATATATTTGATTCATTCACTTCATGAAATTGTCCTTCAACTTAACGTTTGAACGCAAGGTACCAAAACACAAAGAGGAACCTCATAGTCTCATGACCCTTCCCCCACGGATTTGAAACTGAGAAGTGGTTTTATTGAGGAACTCAGCAAAATCTATAATCACCATATTTGATTGAAAATCACATTAGTGCAGGAGACAGCAAAACACCCATCTGGCGATCATGAAGTCAAGAGCATTTCACCTGCTGATGCTCTGCTGTTTTATCAGTGTCTGCAACCTGCATCCACTTATTCGTCCTAATAATGGACTGCGATTGTGCCGCAAAAACTCAAGTTTGACAGCACTGGAGGTTCTACCAGGCGGAGGATGGGATAACCTGCGCAACATAGACATGGGCAGAGTGATGAATCTGAGCTATTCTCAGTGTCAGACCACAGAAGATGGAGTCTATCTCATTCCAGATGAAGTCTTTGTCATTCCACAAAAAGTGAGCGGAGTGGAGACAAACTCAGAGATCATCATGTCGTGGCTGGAACAGAAAAGCTCAACTTCAAGCTCCGTTAATGCTGATGTTTCCTTCTTCTCAGTACTCAATGCAAAATTCTCCACAGAAAACCAGCGCATGAAGACCCACCAAGTGAAAGAGGGTTCTGTTACAGCACGGGTTCAAGTAAGTACAAAATAATGATAATGAAAAAAAGAGCTATATGTATATGATAGTTATACATATGTAGGCCCGCACGGAATCTGTGCATGCAGAAAGCCCATCATTGAGTCTATTTATTTACTTGTGTGTAAATTACTAATTATTCAATCTTCAAATTAACTTCAGTAATAATATTGACTAATATAAAAGTGTTCATATGATTTATCTACAATACAGTTTAAAATAATATGTGATGAACTAGCTTTGTTTACCAAATAAGTGGATCTAGATCGATTTGCATTGTAAACATTGAATAAAAGTTAGTATAGCTTAAGTTTTTAGTCACGATACTCCCAAAATAATTCCACATAAATCCACAGATTTTGTTTTATTATTATTATTTTTTTTACAAAATTCTCAGCAGAAGTAGCAAAAAATGTCCACAAATACTGACTGGCCCTAGTTATATGTAACCTTGAATGACAAATTCTCATATAGCTACGTACATAAACAGCTAAATAAAATATGGCTAACATTTTAGTTGAATTACCTACAGTATTCATAGTAGTAACTGTGTATAAACTGCATATTAGTAAGATTCTGGCTGTATGATCTTTTTTAACTTCCCTAATCTTACCCAATACCTAAACCCAACAAGTACCTTACTAACTAATAATAAGCAGCAAACTAGTCATTTATTAAATAAAAATAAAAGTCGTAGATAATGGTGGTTTATAGTATAAGTTGTACCTTAAAATAAATATTGACCATATTTCCGCATTTCATGTGCATAGAATTTTTTTCTTTTCTTCAAAAAATGTTTAAAGTAAATGATGGAATTCAATTGCAATACTGACTGTCCTTGGTTCATTTTCTTAAACTATGAAAAATTTGTTTCTCAGGTCCGTAACCATCTGTACACAGTAAAGGCGTATCCTGACTTCACTCTGGACTCCCGCTTTGCAAAACAGGCAGAAGAAATCGCTGACGCCATTGAAAACAATCAAACACGTCATGCTAATTATTTGTCAGAGAAACTCGTACTTGATTACGGCACCCATGTCATCACAAGTGTTGATGCTGGAGCCACATTGGTGCAAGAAGATTATTTAAAAATGTCTTATATCTCCAACAGTCAGTCAGACAAGTCTTCTGTTTCAGCATCAGCCGGCGCTAACTTCTTTGACAAAGTTAAATTTGATATTGGTGGGAATACCTCCCAAGGCAGCTCTCAAAGCAGTAGTTATCAGGGCAACATCACCTATTCTTTAATTCAGAGCCACGGAGGAGCTTTATTCTACCCAGGCATCACTCTGCAGAAGTGGCAACAAAGTACGCTCAATAATCTGGTGGCAATTGACCGCTCTGGGCTGCCGCTGCACTATTTTCTTAATCCATCAACATTCCCAGACCTCCCAACACCAACAGTGAACAAATTGGCTTCAACAGTGCGTAAAGCAGCAGAGCGTTACTATAAAGTGAACACCATTCCAGGTTGTGTAAATGTGGATTCCCCAAACTTCAACTTTCAGGCAAATGTAGACGATGCATCTTGTGAGGGTCCGATCACCAATCTTAGCTTTGGTGGCATTTACCAAAGATGCACTCCACTGACTCCAGATGGAAACATCATCTGTGATGAAACAGCACAGAAAAACCCAGCCACCGGTGGTTATTCTTGCCCTCAACATTACAACACCACCTTGTTACACTCTGAGATAGTGGAAAAAGGCTTTAATCATTATGAATGCCACACCCACTGCCATTCCTGTGGTTTCTTAGGGTTGTCTACTTGTTGTGACAAAACATGTGGTGATTCTTACCACGTCCGTCGTGCTAAACTTGAAACGCTCTGGTGCTCTTCAACACATAAAACCCCTGAGAACTCTGGATATCTCTTTGGAGGTCTGTTTGGACCAGGCATCCAAAACCCATTGACCAAATCCAGCAGTTGTCCTCCAAGTTACTTCACCCAACGCTTCTTGTCTAATGGCATGATGATTTGTATGAGCAATGATTATGAGATTGGAACAAGATTCTCAGTGCCATTTGCTGGGTTTTTCAGTTGTCAATCTGGCAACCCTCTTTCAAATGGTCAATCTCGCTGTCCGCCTCAGTTCAGCCAACATCTCGCTGCCATCAGTGATGGCTGTCAGGTTTTGTACTGTGTCCAGTCTGGTGTGTTCAGTGGTGGTCATTTAAAACCAGTTCGTCTTCCACCGTTCACAAGACCACCAGTGGTCGGCATGATTGCGACAAACACAGTGGCTGTAATGACAGAAGGTGAGCGTTCTTGGGTGAGAGTTGGAGAGACTAAAATGTGGCGATTGGCAAAGCCTGGTGACATTAAACAAATGCAATCAATACTCGATGCCTCTGAGATGTCTGGAGGAAAAAAGGCTGGAGTAGCCATTGGTATAATAGTCCTGGTTGCTCTCGTTGTCGCAGGCACTGTGGTTATAATGAAAAGAAGAAATAGGTTCTCTAGTCTAAAGCTGAACAGAGGTTATGAAGAGATTAGTGAGGGACGAAATGAGAGCAGTGTTGAGATTGAACAAGAGCAGAATGAAGCTGCAAATGAAAACCCCAATCAACAACTACTCTCATAACAGTCGTTTTAAGATCAACGTCCAGAGACTTATAGTTAAACTTCATAACATTTTAATGAATATTAGAAGTATAGTGATTACTAAAAGTTGTCTGAATTGTCTAAATGTTGTCTTGCTTTACAACCAACAGTTGAAACAAAGAAAAAAAAAATGTTTCTATTAAATGTCTCTGTCATTATAAAAATATAAAAATGATTTAGTTAAATATGAGGAAAGACTGTATAAAGTATGTTTTACTACATACGTGTAAGTGTTATATATTTTTTGTTTTGAAACAAGTGTTCATTACTCTGAAATGAATTAGTTTTGGGGAATCTATGAATTATAGGTTTAAACGCAAAATTATTTTCAATGGATTTATACTTTTTTTCCCCAAATTTATGTAGATCGGTGTGCTTTTTCTGACTAATAAAGAGTTCTTGAGCATACACAAGGACATGAAATCTTGAGTTTTAATTCTGTTGTTTTAACCTAATATTAGGGTAATTGTAATAGACAAGAGAAACACTCTAACAACACTGTAAAAAAGTTGACTCAACTTAAAACTTTATGGCAACCAGCTTAAGGACATTTATGAGTTTACTCAACTTAAATCAAGTGCAGTATTAAGGTTTACAGTTGAATCAACTCAAAAAAGATCTGCACCAAGTTGCCTTACAATTTTGAATTGAGTGAACTTGTATTTACAGTGATGTGATGTGACAATTAATCTACAAATCTCGGCTACTTCTGTTCCTCTATTGGTTATCTTACATCCATTTTCCTCTTAATAGTGTCTTTTTTCACAACTCAATATGGCACCACTTATCTGTTGTAATTTGCATTTACATGACAAGAAAGTATTGTTTCACAAAGAAACCATCATGGTTTGCTCACATGAACAATCAGATATTTTAATTTCATTTCACACAGAAGAACAGGAATTAGGAAAGTTCTAGGTAAGTGATAGGAACTACCTACCACCTACCTATTTAGTAGTAAATACCTAATAGTAGAAAATTACTTCCATTTCATAAGTTACTGTATTCACAGCTACTATCATTTAACCTTCTTCTAAATTAGAACACAAGCACATGTTTGCAAACAATCAAAGTCAACAATGTTAGGGAACAATCAATACCACAAATGAAGAATCAACCTAATACAATAGGTCTCAGTAAACAATCCCAGAATTCTGCCCAGAAATACATGAAAAAATCGCAGAGGAGCACTAAAATGTTTTCTCCCTCCCTCTCCCTCTCTCTCTCTCTCTCTCTCTCTCTCTCTCTCTCTGTCTCTGAAAGCAATTAATACTGTAGAGTAGAATTTTTTCTCATGCAGCAAAATATATTTTGTGTTTATTTTGTGTGATTGTGGAGGCCATTTGAGAACAGTAAACTCATTGTCATGTTCAAGAAACCAGTCTGAGATGATTCCCACTTTATGACGTGGCACCATGGTATTCTGTTGGAAGTAGCCATCAGAAGATAGGTACACTGTGGTCATAAAGGGATGGACATGGTCCGCAACATTACTCAGGTAGGCTGTGGCATTGACACGATGCTCAATTGGTGCTAAAGGGCCCAAAGTGTGCCAAGAAAACATCCCTCAAACCATTACAGCGCTACCACCAGCCTGAACTGTTGATACAAGGCAGGATGGATCCATGCTTTCATGCTGTTGACGCCAAATTCTGACCCTACCATCCAAATGTCACAGCAGAAATCGAGACTCATCAAACCAGACAACATTTTCCAATCATCTACTGTGTGAATTGTAGCCTCAGTTTCCTGTTCTTAGCTGACAGGAGTGGCACCCAGTGTGGTCTTTTGCTGCTGTAGCCCAACCGCCCCAAGGTTTGAAGTGTTGTGCATTCAGAGATGCTTTTCTGCATACCTCAGTTGTAACGAGTGCTTTTTTGAGTTACTGTTGCTTTTCTATGAGCTGGAACCAGTCTGGCCATTCTCCTCTGACCTCTGATATCAACAAGGCATTTGTGCATTTTCCCTTTTTGGACCATTCTGTGTGAACCCTAGACATGGTTGTGCATGAAAATCCCAGTAGATCAGAAGTTTCTGAAATACTCAGACCAGCCCATATGGCACCTACAACCATGCCATGTTCAGAATCACTTAAATTAACTTTCTTCCCATTCTGATGCTCGATTTGAACTGCAGCAGATTTAATTTACTCTAATTCCTTTTTTTTGGATTAGTTTCTTTAATAAACTGGGATCGCCACAGCAGAATAAACCACCAACTTATTCAGCATATGTTTTACACAGTGTATGCCCTTCCAACTGCAACCAATAACTGGGAAACACCCACACACTTCCATTCACACACATACACTACGGATAATTTAGCCTATTCAATTCACCTATACCGCATGTCTTTGGACTGTGGGGGAAACCGGAGCACCCGGAGGAAACCCACGCGAACATGGAAAGAACATGCAAACTCCACACAAAAACGACAACTGGCCCAGCCGAGGCTCAAACCAGCAACCTTCTTGCTGCAAGCCGAGAGAGCTACCCACTGCGCCACCGTGCTGCCCAATCTACATTCAATTTATAGTAATTGTCATGTTACCTACCTGCATCAGTTTTTCGATCCTAGTCATTCACACTTTATTGTCCAGTCCTCTTTACTGTCCTGTATTGTAAATGGCAAGGTCGCTACATAATTAACACTAAAAGGTCACATGAAGTATGTACAGATTACATTTATACTACAAACATTCATATTTTATAGAATATACTCTCACTTAGAGCTATTGACCACAGACCAAGTTATGTTTCACAACAAGTCACTGACGCCACCTGCTGTTGAGATGATGTCATTTCACTGGAATATCCCCACAGCTAATACTGCAATGGCACATTTCCTCCAGAAAAATGGTACTGTAAATTACCTATAGACAAAAATAAAACATGAAAAAACAACAACAACAACAACATTATTGTCATGTATTTAGTTTGCAAATGTTCTTTCCATTGCTTTACCAACATAATGTGCTAACCACTTTGATATGTTTACGGGCCCTGTGCAATGTCTACCATTCAGCTTCAGGGGAAAATAAAATACATGCTGCATATTGTCATCCACATGTGCTGCATGATTAATCTAGACCTGCATGATTTATCTAGACCTTCCACTGCATGCAAAGTCTCATGACAGCCCTCCCCCACTGCACAGCTGGTATTTAATGAAAAAAAAAAATCTAAATCAAAACAAAACCAGTGACCGGATGAAATCTGTCCAGTGTCCAGCAGCACAGAAGAAAAAGCTTGAAAGGAAGACACTCCCTTCTACAAATGCCACAGACTCTCTCACAGCCGTCTCTTTCACTGTTAGCATTCCACAGAGCGACTCTACAGCTGTTACACTTGAAGAAACTGTGTTTCAAAAGAGGAACCGAGGAAAATACTTTTTTTTAAAGTAGGTCAACATGGTGGTGTAGCACAGCTGGAACAGACTATTGTATGAAAGCTACTTAGAGGGCAAAACTGGCACTGGTAAGGTTTTTTTTAAATATATTTTTAAACAGTTCCTTAAATCCTATTAATACAAAATAATTCAAAATAAATTCATCATATCATTTTAAAATGATCTTTTTTTGAATGCATATTTCTTCAATAAAGTTTCTATTCCTGAAATATTACATTTTAACCCTCATTTCTCTGTAGACATCATCATGGACACCAATAAATGTGTTTCCCTCACATTCCTTTGTATTTGTCTGATGTTGGCACACTGGGACTCAAGTTCAGCTTGTCACACTGGCTCTCAGACGGAATGTGAAAAAGCTCCATTTGTGCCTGGCTACAATCTGGCAGGAGAAGGCTTTGATGTTGTCAAGATGCGTCGTAAAGGTGCCTTTCTGATAAATGTCAAGTCACACATAGACAACGGTACCTGTACCATCTGCAAAAACCGCTTTCAAGGAGGGCAGATGCAGAAACTCCCCTCAGCCGTGTTGGACTGGCGACCCTTCAGCCGCTGCAGCAAACAGCTTTCTAGTGCTCTTCATCATTCTGTCGACTCCCTTATGAAGAGTTCAACGTCACTTGTTAATAATAACTGGGAAATGGATCTTAGCCTGGATGACATGGGAAAGGTGATTTTTGGAGGGAGTCGATCAGATATTGCTCAATTTGCCCATTCTCAGAATACAATGGATAAGGCAACCTTTGCCCTTCATGAGATCAGCTGTACATACTACAGGTTAGTCTATATTTTTGTATTGTATTTATACTATTTGCCCAAAAAATGACAACAATACACTCAATATCTCTCTACACCCTTGCATGATGATTATGATAATAATCACATCAGCAGTGGGCGAGTTGAAGATTCTAAAATCAACTTCTACAATATGTTTTGTGCAAACCTCTGTGCAAAATTAGTCCTGTTCAGAGATCAAATAAATGTATTTAGCAACAGAGTTTTTGGTCAGTCCTTATTCAGTGTCATAAGTTTTACAGTTTCAATAATTATTTGGTCATTGAAACCTAAACAATGTCACTTAAAATAAACGAATGTGAAAAAATATTTGTCGGTATCTGTATTTTTCCAAGTATTTAACCGAACAACGTCTGCGCTTTAATAAATGTATAATGTTGCTATAATGCTGATATTTGTCAGGACGGATTTTGGGGGAAACTGTTACATACCTGTCAAAGATTTTACATGAATCGTTCAAAATGGCAGGTGTATGTGAAAACACTGTAATTTTTCTATTCGCTCTAACAAGATGTCCTTTATCTACGTGCAAACCGATCTCTCTAATCTCCACACAGAAAGTAGAACCAAAGCACAACCAAAACAATGTTCGCTTTAGGGTTCAACCCCTAGAGGGCGTGATGAGCAAAAATATATGATAAATATAGCTGCAAGCAGCAATTAACGGGATTCAAGCATTTTAGCAGCGTAACGTTATATAGCAGTTAGGAAGTCTGTAAGTAGTTTACTCGACAATGAAATAAATTATTAGAGTATTAGTGTTTATAGATTGAGCTAACAAATGTTTGATTACACACTCCAAAAAAGCAACTTTGGTTTATATATATTGACAAATTTTTAATGAACATTTGTAATGGCCGCTGTTATGTCGAAGTATTCATTATAAGCAGCCCTATGATATAATTTGTAGATCAAGTCATGGCACCTTAGAAAAAGACACTGCATGTCAAATTTCTAGTTAATCAGATAAATGGTTACTCAGATACTGTGATTTTTCAATGTATAGCGCCACCATCTGGCCAATGTCTACGAGTTTCATGCTATGACCTTTGATTGACCTCTTGCATATGTGTAACAAGTTTGGTGAAGATATTTTAATCCATTCATGAGTTAGGGCCATTTTAGCTCTTCCCAATAAAAAATTCAAAAGGGCAGTGAAACATGCTATTAGTGATCTCCTACTGCCATCTAGTGGCCACGGTGTAATTTTTTCATGTGATTACAGCCATTTAGGAGTGCATAAATATATTCCTTCTGTAAATGAGCATGCTATAACTCTAAATGTTGTATTTTATTAAAATAATTATCTACAGAGTTAAAAAGTTTGACAAGCTTTGACTAAATTTGATCTTAAATGCATTAACTGTGTTTATGGTATGTCAGTTTGAGATTCAGAATGCATTCTTTGCTACAGAGCAGTAAAATAAACTATATGTGGTCTGTTACTGCTACCATCTAGTGGCCACAGTTCTGATTTTTTAAATATGTTTTTAAACAAGGTGTTTAATTATAGAACCAGTTTTTGCCTATTTGAATTATTATGAAGAAGTTAACTGGGACTAAATTAATTTTTTAATACATAACAGTGTTTGCATCATGTCAACATGTGATTCAGAATGATTCTAAAAGCAATTTCCCTGACTTTAAACTTTAAAAATGTAAAAAAACAAAGGTATGCAAATGTTATGAACAAATAATACGTGGTCTTGTGCTAACATCGAGTGGTTAAATTTGGTAGGTGACAATTTAAAGTCTGTGTTATAGTGGCTAAAATGATAGAATATTGAAAATATGTGTTTTTGAGATCTGTAAAACATCCAAGATGGGACAAAAAATTTAGCATGTAAATAATTTAAGTGATAAGCTTGAACTAAACTTGTAAATGTGTGTAAATGAAGCATGTTTACTGCATTTTTAAGCCATTTTAGCATGTTTTTAGGACCATCTCTACTATTATAGCGCCACCTATTGCCCGATCTCCACAAAAAAATCGCAAGTTTCTAGCATCTTTGGAGTGAGTAGATCAATAATTATCAAAAAAAAGTTAAACTTTTCACTTTGGATAGCTGTAACGGGCTCATTTACAAAAGGGGCATGTCTACATGAACCTACATGCCTGTAAACCCATAAGGAAAACTCAAAACATCACAGAAATTGGTGAGCACATGAGGCACATCAATGTGAAACAACACTGGTTTCGTTGCGATTGAGCTAAAAACCAGGGACTAGTTCGCAAAAGTAGGTTTTTTTACATATTGATGATTTTTGAACGAACTATTTGATTGACAGCAATGGTTTTAGTCTCAAACTGTTCGGTATGAGCAGGCCTATCATATGATATGCATTTTGTGTGGCTGTGTAAAACTCTGTGTAATAACCAATTTATTACAACTTCAAAAAACTTAAAAAAAAATTTTTTTACAAACCTTTAGGACCATGAGTCGAACATGCCCACCGAGTTTTGTTTTGATCACTCATTGGTAACCTTGTTTAATGGCTGCTCAATATTTATTAGCTAATGGCGGCCATGTTTTTTGAGATATGCCAATGTCCTTTTAGTATGTCATAACAACTTGGACAAAGACACTGCATGCCAAATTTCAAGCTGATTGGACTAATGGTTGTAAGGTTAGGGTCTTTTTATGGTTTTTAAACTTTATAGCGCCACCATGTGGCCAAAGTCCGCGCGTTTTACACTGTGACCTCAAATTGACCTTACACATGTTTGTGCCAAGTTTGGTGATATGTCATTTCATTCAAAAGTTATAGCTACAATTAGCATATAGCTTCAATTACAATTGAACGTTTTTGTGTACTGTTTTGTGTGAGAATAAAAACTTCAACTTTTTTTGATAAGTATTAATATTCAGTGTTCAGAGACCATTTCAGAACTGTTTTGGTTCAGATTGGGCAAAAAACCTAGGAATAGCTTGCAAAAGTAGGTTTCGGACAAATCACAGGTAGCGGAAAAACTTTCCAGCTGTCTGGAAAATTTAAGTGACCCCATTTCAGGCTAACCCAGGGACTACAAATATGTATGTTTTTTGAGTCTACGACAAACGGTGTACAAATGGCGGCCAAAAATGTCTAAAATGTTGGTTTTTAGCACCATAGCGCCACTTATGGTCCGATTTGGCTGATTTTTGTTGAGCATGTAATGTACCAGAATACTACCATCTGACCAAGTTTCAGCTCTCTAGGCCTTACAGTTTGGTCAGAGCAATAGCAACTTCAGCAGAAAAAAACATAATAATAAGAGCAAAAATTAACAAAAACAATAGGGTTTCAACGCTTCGCGCTCGAACCCCTATTTATGAACAATCCATTGTAAACCATCAGATGAACATTTTCTGTGCGTGATTTTAGTGATTGTTAGTCAGTTCGTGCCTAGTCAGCTACTACTATACATTTAGACATTTCCCTTATGCTGTTTTCATATTTTCAGTTTCATAAACAACATTAAAAAATGTTTTAAGCGCAAACTTTTGTCAATTCAGACTCTTAAAATCATAAAAGTTGTAACAACATTGTGAATGTGTCTCATGATGCAGATGCAATATCTTAAAGATAAAGCATGTAATGCTGATCTGACAAAAAAAAAATGTTTGCCATAAAAAGGTCACTGATTTATCTGAAAAACCACAGATTTATCTGAAAAAGAAACCTAGACAAAGCATTAATGAGTACTTTCTTATCACCTCCCATGACAAAATAGCTGTCAAAAATCAAAATGTCAGGCAGTTTTTACAGTTTTATTTAGAATCTACTGAGATATGACCTTTTTCTGTTTGCAGTTACAGAATAACAGACAACCCAGAGCTCAGCGCTGAATTCTCAAAACATCTCCAGAAGCTTCCGGCACAGTATGATGCACAAACAAAACCTTTGTACCGAAGGACTATTGAAACATATGGCACTCACTACATACGCCAAGTCCATCTGGGTGGGCGAGTGAGGCGGGTCACAGCTTTTCGAACATGTCTTGCAACCCTGAAGGGCTTCTCGGAGACCGATATCAAAAACTGTCTAAATGTGGAGTTAAAAATCACTTTGGGGTTCTTGCCAGGCAATGCCTCGCTTTCCAACAAATGCTCTCAAATACTTAAGGATAATCTGAGCATGGGTTTCTACCAGGGCTTCATGACACACAAGACAGAGGTTCTGGGAGGAGAGAAATACTTCCCAGACCTTGTTTTAAGCCAAAGCCCAGCTGAAGCTTACTCAAACTGGATGATGAGCTTGCATAACAACCCTGACGTTATTTCATATGCTATTTTCCCTCTCCATCATCTGGTGGCAGATCCTGAGGTTAGTTCCAACCTAAAAATAGCAGTAACTGAATATATTGAAGAGAACATGATTTCTGTAGACCACAAGGAGAATCAAGGATGCTCTCAAACACCAAATCTGGATCATAACTGCTGTCCTATGAGAGCCGGTCGTGGCACATTAATAGTGTTAGTGCAGAGAGCTGCAGGACTGAAAGCTGATCTCTTCACACGCACTGATGGTTATGTCAAAGTCTGGTATAACTTCATGTATGAGGAGACTGAGGTGGTTATGGACAATAATGATCCTGAGTGGAATATCAGCTATGATTTGGGATCGGTTGAGTTTGGTCATGAACTCATATTTGAGGTGTGGGACAGTGATGTGATTTATAATGACATGGTGGGGAGATGTGTGGTCAGTCCTGAACGTGGGATTCACTCACACAGCTGTAAATTAAAGAGAGGTGTCCTTTATTTCACCTACAAGGCTTCTTGTGATGCTCATCTGACTGGACCCAGGTGTAGCAGATATTCACCAAAACTGTGAGACCTCTGTATTTGTATAGAACAAACAACTTACAGGCCAAACATGATTAGAAAATAAATAATTTTAAGACTTCTATTTGAACACACTGATGTCTTGTTAAAATCGTATGTACTTGGTGTACTTTTACATATGCTCCACTTTTAAATGGGTTAAATTTTAATAGCAAATAGAAACATGTAATTCAGAAATGCGGCTATTTGAAGATAATAGGTGCATATAAAATAACCAATGAATGATTGATAACTGATTATGGAAACTTTATGTACTGTGATTTTTTATGTGCACTTGTTAGCATAGCACTATTAAATACACATTCTATTTCTTTCTATATATATATATATATATATATATATATATATATATATATATATATATATATATATATATATATGTTTATTATTTTGTTAAAGAATATTTACTATAAAGGCATTGAATTGTTCAAACACCTCAAGGACATATCTTTGAAAAAAATGTAAATGAATAACAGTTTTGCTTTTGATGATTGGTATGGGTGTTTTTGGTTGGTTTATAACACAAAGTGCAAATAAAATCTTTTGTTTTTTGAGCAAAATTTTAGTTACAATTTCATAACTTTATCTCACAAACAAAAGAAAGCTATAGTAGGCCATTTGAGAAAGTGTGAGAAAAACTATGACCTGTACAACATGTTTGTAACTCTAATTTAACCCTACCCTATCCATCTCCATAACTAACCCTAAACTACATTAACCTTGTCCGTAACTAACCCTAACTTACAATAACCCTAATCTTAAACCTAACTCCAGTAGTTAAGTCTGTGAACAGTATTATCTGTGCAGTAATGTGATTGGCTTTGAAAGGTGCAATGATATTAGGGTATATGGAGAACTCCTTCAGAAATTCTACAAGGAACATATGGAAATCCTACATAAAACATGCTGGACTCCTGCAGAAATCCTACAGGGAACATGCAAGACCCCTGCAGGAATCCTACAAGAAACATATGGGAATTCAACAGGGAACATATGAGAATTCAAAAAACATGTAGCAATCCTACAGGGAACCTGCAGGATTCCTGCAGAAATCATACAAAAAAGAGGTAGAAATCCTACACAGAACATGGAGGACTTCCTATGAAATCCTACATGGATTATGCAGTAATCCTACAGGGAACATGTAGAACCCCTGCATAATTCTTAGAGGAAACATGCAAGATTCCAGCAGGAATCCTACCAAAAAATAAAATAAATAAATCCTACTTAGAACATGCAGGACTCAGAAACGGAATGTGCAGGACTAATGCAGGAATCCTACTGGGAACATGCAGGACTCCTACACGGAATATTCCATAACTACTACAGGAATCCTACAAGAAACATAGAGGTATGCAACAAGGGACTTGCAAGATTCCTACAGATAACATTTGGGACTCCTGCAGGAATCCTACAAGTAACAGGTAGAAATCCTACGCGGAACATGCAGGACTTATGAAATCCTATATGAAAAATACAGTAACCCTTCAGGGAACATGTAGAACTCATGCATGAATCTTTCTTGGGACATGCAGGAATCCTACAGTGAACATGCAGGACTTCTGCAGGAATCCTACAAAAACATGAAGAAATATTACAGGGAACATTCAAGACAACTGCAGAAATTTTAGAAGGATCATGCAGGAATCATACAAAGAACATGCTGAATTTGTGCATGAATTTAACAGAAAACATGCAGGACTCATAAAAGTTGCCTGTGAAGTATATACAGTACTATAAATGCAGAAATATAAGGTATTTTAACTGTAAAAACTGTAAACTATCATCCTGTTCTGTGGGAAATTTCAGTTCTACTAGACTCCAGCAGGATCTCTGACCTCACACAGTAATTGTTTTGTATTTTTACATTTATTTAGCTAAAAGGTTAAGCAACCACCAAGCATACTCAAGATAAACATAAACAAGAGGAGCTCCAGAAGATGTAAAGACAACAATTCCCATGATTCCACACCCATTTATGGCATCATCAAACGATGACTTTGTTTTCAATATGCTCTCTCTAGAGACAAAACAATGTTAAACTATTTTGCAACGTCAAGAGTTCAATTAACTCAAAATCATATTCATTCATTCATTTTATGTTTAGCTTAGTCCCTTTATTAATCTGGGGTCGCCACAGCGGAATGAACCACCAACATATCCAACATATGTTTTACACAGAGGATGCCCTTCCAGCCCTTTCCATTACTGGGAAACACACATACATTTGCATTCACACACACACGCAACCGACAATTTAGCTTACCCAATTCACCTATAGCGCATGTCTTTGGACTTTTGGGGGAAACCGGAGTACCTGGAGGTAACCCACGTGAAGACAGGGAGCACATGCAAACTCTATACAGAAATGCCAACTGACCCAGCCGAGGCTCAAACCAGCAACCTTCTCGCTGTGAGGCAAGGGCATTACCCACTGCGCCACCGCATCACCCAAAATCACATTCAACTATTGTAATTGAACATTCAACAATTGTTCAACAATTGTTCACCAGTGCTCTTTTCAGTCTGAAAAAAGATGAATGATGTGTGAACTAAATAATGGCCATTTACAAAACACAAACAGGCACTCAATTTGATTGACAGCAATGGATTTAGTCTCAAACTGCACTCAACAGGCAAGTAAACTATTTGCTAAATAATGCCTTACACTACTGAATTACAGCAAAACAGTCATTTGTAACTTTAAACATTACTTTTCTAACTTGTTACTCACTACACAGTAGAGGAGAAAAACATAGGTGCATTACAATTCAATAATACATATTCAGTATTGAATGTGAAAGTCGTCAGGTTGTTTACTGAAATTCTCAATTTATTTTAACATTATATTTACTTAAATATTTTACTCTTTTATTTTTTAAGGTCTGTAACCATCTCACGTTAGTCATACTACTTAATTTGATATGGCAAGCATCAGGCATCACTCTACTAAAGTGGAAAGTACAAATCAATAATCTGGTGGTTTATGACAATCAACATTCTTTTTGACTCTTTAAGCTTTTAAGTGGTTTGGAAAAACATGAGTGCATCAGGCCTCATGCCAGAATAAAAAAGGAAAGTACATCAAGAGTACATCTTCAATATTGAATGTGAAAGTTGCCAGCTAAACCTTTTCAGAAGTCCACACCCCGTTGACTGAAATACATAGCCTTTTTTTCTAGTGCTGCATTGCCACAGACCTTATTTGGCAACCATGGAGTCAAGAGCATTCACTGTTCGGATGCTCATCTTTTTTATTAGTGTCAGTGATCTTTGTCCCCTTATTCATCCATGTAATGGACTTCATTCGTGTCATAAAAATGCAAGTTTGACAGCACTGGATGTTTTACCAGGTGGAGGCTGGGATAACCTGCGCAACATAGACAAGGGACGAGTGATGAATCTGAGCTACTCCCGGTGTCAGACCACAGAAGATGGAGTCTATCTCATTCCAGATGAAGTCTTTGTTATTCCAAAGAAAGAGGGTGCAGTGGAAACAAACTCAGAGATCATCATGTCATGGATGAATCACACAAGCTCTACCTCAAGCTCCATCAATGCAGACGTTTCCTTCCTTTCGGCGCTCAATGGTAAATACTCAGAAGAATATCGACACATGAAAACTCGCCAAGTGAAAGACAATTCTGTGACATCACGAGTTCAAGTAAGTCAAAATCAAATTTAACTATTGTAATTAAACATTCAACATTTGTTCACCATTACTATTATCAGTCTAAAAAAGATGAATGTGTGTGAACTTTAAAAGTTAGCCATTTCTTTTTCAAATGATTCTAAAGGTTTAATTAAACCTTCAAAATATGAGAAATATCTTATATTTGAAAGACAAAATATATAACCTGGTTAATGAATTTTTTTTCCCAATGTATTAAGCATACACTGACAACAGTATATGCAGTTAAAGGGCACCTATTATGAAAATCGTCTTTTGTAAGCTGTCTGGAAAGAACTGTGTGTAGGTATAGTGTGTCCACTGTCATATCGGAGTGATAAGTCTCTTTTTGAAATTTCTTGACGTAAAATAGGATCCAAACCCTCCCATTTTGAGGCCGATATGACATATTAGTGCTGTTTCCCCGTGTATTAATATGTCTCCGTATTAGGCGTATAATCTTATCAATAAGACAAGAAGTGCACAAATCAAACAGGATTGAAAGATCTATTCAGCTCGCTGGATCATCAATCATCATCAAATATGTCAACTTACACAAACCCTAAACCCAATCCTAACCCCAACCTAGCAGCCTACTTATAATCTATTGAGAACTAGTTGGCATGTAAATGCAATGTAACTTAAATTCAACAAATGGACCATCAAAAAAAGTGTGACCTAAATATGTACCTAAATCAAGTTTTTTTTTGTTTACATGTTAATTTCTAAAACCTATTTCATCTATTTTGTTTCTTTTTTTTTTAGGTTCGAAACCATCGGTAACGCTTTCTTTTACAACCCGCAAAGTACCGCGTAAGTACAGTGAAATTACAGTGTACTTTTCTGTACGTACTGTGTAAGTATAATGAACGTATGTGTAGGTATGAGGGAACAAATCGTAATGCTTGGGTAAAAAGGGGGTAACAACCAGATGTTCATCACGAAAATGACCGCGTAAGTACAGTGAAATAACGGTGTACTTTTCTGTACCTATAGTGTAAGTATAAATAACGTTTACGTAAGTATAAGGGAACAAACTGTAATGCTCGGGTAATAAGGGGGTAGCATCCAGATATTCAGCATGAAAGGTACCGCGTAAGTACAGTGAAATAACGTTGTACTTTTCTTTAAATTGCAAAAGAACAAACCATAATGTTTGCGTAAAAGGGGAGTAACAATAAGATATCCATCACGCAAAGAAGTATATTAAGTTTACGATGTACATTTCTTCAAGTATTGTATACATATAAAGAATTATGCAAGGATGGTGACAACCTATTGCTATCTGCAAATGTACTGTATATGCACCTGCGTGAGTACATTAGTACTCTTATTCAGTGCTTGGGTTTTATATAGGGTGTTTAATGAATAAAAGGTTTACAACCTGTGAAATTATGAACCCTTATTGTATACTGTATGTATTTTAAATCTGCAATTCAATATAACATATATTTCCATACACTACTTACCTTATGTTTACTCGTCGATCTCACCAAAGCCATCAATGTCTCCATAACTCACTATCAACAAATAACTTTGCATGACATAGGCCTACCGTCAGGGTTCAATGCAGATTAAAACAGGCTCGCATCTTTACTGCTGTTGCACAGGGGGGCTAACTGTTGCATTTCAGTAAATGTATAGCTGATGCTTTATAGAAAAATCTAGTAATTTGGTCTTCAAACAATAAAAACTGCTGCTGTAGTTTACTCTGTTCTTAGTGTTCAAGTATACACTAGTATGTTAAAGTTCAGCTTCTTCCCTCTTTGTTCCCTGTAGTTAAAGGGTAAATACAGTATTTGTTCCCTCCTTGTTCCCTGTACTTACAGGGTAAATACCACATTTGAGGGTTGTAAATTAAAGTGAAGCTTTGTTCCTCCCTTGTTCCCTGTACTTACAGGGTAAATACCACATTTGAGGGTTGTAAATTAAAGTGAAGCTTTGTTCCTCTCTTGTTACCTCCTTGTTACCTGTACTTACAGGGTAAATACCACATTTGAGGGTTGTAAATTAAAGTGAAGCTTTGTTCCTCTCTTGTTACCTCCTTGTTCCCTGTACTTACAGGGTAAATACCACATTTGAGGGTTGTAAATTAAAGTGAAGCTTTGTTCCTCCCTTGTTACCTGTACTTACAGGGTAAATACCACATTTGAGGGTTGTAAATTAAAGTGAAGCTTTGTTCCTCTCTTGTTACCTCCTTGTTACCTGTACTTACAGGGTAAATACCACATTTGAGGGTTGTAAATTAAAGTGAAGCTTTATTCCTCTCTTGTTACCTCCTTGTTACCTGTACTTACAGGGTAAATACCACATTTGAGGGTTGTAAATTAAAGTGAAGCTTTGTTCCTCTCTTGTTACCTCCTTGTTACCTGTACTTACAGGGTAAATACCACATTTGAGGGTTGTAAATTAAAGTGAAGCTTTGTTCCTCCCTTGTTACCCCCTTGTTCCCTGTACTTACAGGGTAAATACCACATTTGAGGGTTGTAAATTAAAGTGAAGCTTTGTTCCTCTCTTGTTACCTGTAGTTAAAGGGTAAATACAACATTTGTTCCCCCCTTGTTCCCTTTAGTTTACAATGTAAAATCTTGAAGGCAGTGAAATAAATATACAAACACACAATATATTTCTTCTTTACTTTGTAACCTTTATTTTAATAAATAAGCATTTTAAAAGACTTCATATTAATCAAACATTGTCTTGTCTATCATTGCCTATACTCATTCATTTTCTCTTCGGCTTTGTCCTTTTGTTAATCTGGGGTCGCCACAGTGGAATAAACCACCATCTTATCCAGCATATGTTTTACGCAGTGGATGCCCTTCCAGCTGCAACCCATCTCTGGGAAACATCCATACACACTCACTCACACGCATTCACTACGGACAATTTAGTCTACCCAATTCACCTGTACCGCATGTCTTTGGACTGTGAGGGAAACCGGAGCACCCGGAGGAAACCCACGCGAACGCAGGGAGAACTCCATGCAGAAACCTTCTTGATGTGAGGAAACAGCACTACCTACTGTGCCACCGTGTTGCCACCCAGCTGCAACCCATCACTGGGAAACATCCATACATACTCATTCACACACATACACTACGGACAATTTTACCTTACCCAATGTCACCACATATTTTTGGACTTGTGGGAGCACCCGGAGGAAACCCACGCTAACATGGGGAGAACATGCAAACTCCACACAGAAATGCCAACTGACCCAGCCGAGGCTCGAACCAGCGACCTTCTTGCTGTGAGGCGATTGTGCTACCCACTGCACCTGCCTATACTCAAACAGCAAAATAACACATTATTTCCTTCCCCCTTTTTTTCTGGCATCTCTTGCTTGGCTTCCTCTTCTGCTCTTCTCAGCTTCCACTGAGGACTCTGATGGTGAGTGGCTGATGAAATCCCATGGGTCTTGCTGCTCTGCATTTATATAAAATATATGAACAGACATAAAGGCTTTTAGTAAGCTATAGACATGATTATTTTGATGTTTAATGTGTGTGTAGTGGTTGTCCAACAATTTCACATACTAAACATTTACAGATACCATACAGACACTATACATTATTATCAAACAAAAGTACTATCATCAGATCATATGGGAGATTGTGATCATTTATAGTGATAATAATTAAAGCGCAGAGGGGAAAAGGCTTAAATAGTAGGCTACTGTGCTAAAGTCCTAGGCAAACGTTACTAGTAATTGGGTGGGGGGCTATTGATATATCAAACTGGCATGCTACAGAAAATATCAATTTACATTTCCAAACATTAATTTTGTCATTAACTTTGCTGTAATTAACGTATAAAGGGAGAAAATCGTCTGCACAGTCAGTATGACAACAGCCACAGAGATCTGACCTGCTCATCATCCAGTCTTTCTGGAATGACATGAAGAAACTAAATCCATAGGAACTTTGGCAACATTTCTAAGATGTGCAAAGTAAACGACAGTAAACATTGGTAAATATTCGCTGCTGGCCGTTTAGATTCGGCCATGAACTAACGTTAATGTTACGCTAAAAACAAATGAAACAAAATAAATATAATCTGGTTAATGCACAATTTCTAATCGTAACAATAGCCTTATTTACTGACAACGATTTACTCACATGTGTTACATGGTGACAAGACGGAGCAATTCCAAACGTCCCAAAAGTCTGAGCAAAACCTCGTGGCGTGCTGCTGCAGTTTGATTCGGATCTTTAGAGGCTTCTTGATTCACAACTCGTTTGAATCAACGAATCAGTAGGCGCGTACCTGAAGTGATACAATATCGCGAGATGGATTCAAATGCACACGGAGCTGTCTGTTGTTCTCGCGATGTTTTGATGTCACACTGATCGGTTTGTTGAAGACGAATCGATTCAACTCTCCGTCCTCCATTCCCAGAATTTCCTGTTCACGGCAGTACAAGGACGGCAGCGCGAGGTAAATAAAACAAGTATTTTTATGACGTTATGTACATAGAAGTGTTTGTTTAGGTTTTTGTTTATATCTAATGTTTGTACCTATTTTTAACAATTACACCCTTTTCACAACACTGTTATGACGCGTTTAACGATCATCAGGATCTAAAATCCTTGAGTTTTTTATTTGATTTTTTTATAAAATAACATTTATTTGTATCTACGTATGCATTATATAATATGATTACATGTGCGAGGTGTTTCAAACAGTGTCTATGGTCATGAGTAAATTAGAAGTTATTCTCTCTTCTTGCTGGCGTTATCAGTTTCACACTATATTTTTATTTTTCTAATTGTCGAGACAACACCATCGTAAAGTTTTCATTTTATTTGAGCAAAGAAGATTGTAAAAAAAATGTGTTGTACTTTCCCATTCACTGCGCTGAAATGTAAAAAGGGTCCATAACAGTACATCAACCATATTATGTTATCTTTCACTTTATTTAGGACTAATGATGGGTTAAGACATGTACTTTAATCAAAAACTAACCTTAGGGGTAGTTAACCCAAACGTTACATTTACTTACCATTTAATGAGTGACACAGAATTCAAATATGTACACTGAACTGCAAATAATCTTTACTTCAAAGTCTATACTGCCTGCACATATATTTAAGCCTTTTCCCCTCTGCACTTTAATTATTATCACTATAAATGATCACAATCTCCCATATGATCTGATGATAGTACTTTTGTTTGATAATAATGTATAGTGTCTGTATGGTATCTGTAAATGTTTAGTATGTGAAATTGTTGGACAACCACTACACACACATTAAACATCAAAATAAACATGTCTATAGCTTACTAAAAGCCTTTCTGTCTGTTCATATATTTTATATAAATGCAGAGCAGCAAGACCCATGGGATTTCATCAGCCACTCACCATCAGAGTCCTCAGTGGAAGCTGAGAAGAGCAGAAGAGGAAGCCAAGCAAGAGATGCCAGAAAAAAAGGGGGAAGGAAATAATGTGTTATTTTGCTGTTTGAGTATAGGCAGGTGCAGTGGGTAGCACAATCGCCTCACAGCAAGAAGGTCGCTGGTTCGAGCCTCGGCTGGGTCAGTTGGCATTTCTGTGTGGAGTTTGCATGTTCTCCCCATGTTAGCGTGGGTTTCCTCCGGGTGCTCCCACAAGTCCAAAAATATGTGGTGACATTGGGTAAGGTAAAATTGTCCGTAGTGTATGTGTGTGAATGAGTATGTATGGATGTTTCCCAGTGATGGGTTGCAGCTGGGTGGCAACACGGTGGCACAGTAGGTAGTGCTGTTTCCTCACATCAAGAAGGTTTCTGCATGGAGTTCTCCCTGCGTTCGCGTGGGTTTCCTCCGGGTGCTCCGGTTTCCCTCACAGTCCAAAGACATGCGGTACAGGTGAATTGGGTAGACTAAATTGTCCGTAGTGAATGCGTGTGAGTGAGTGTGTATGGATGTTTCCCAGAGATGGGTTGCAGCTGGAAGGGCATCCACTGCGTAAAACATATGCTGGATAAGATGGTGGTTTATTCCACTGTGGCGACCCCAGATTAACAAAAGGACAAAGCCGAAGAGAAAATGAATGAGTATAGGCAATGATAGACAAGACAATGTTTGATTAATATGAAGTCTTTTAAAATGCTTATTTATTAAAATAAAGGTTACAAAGTAAAGAAGAAATATATTGTGTGTTTGTATATTTATTTCACTGCCTTCAAGATTTTACATTGTAAACTAAAGGGAACAAGGGGGGAACAAATGTTGTATTTACCCTTTAACTACAGGTAACAAGAGGGGAACAAAGCTTCACTTTAATTTACAACCCTCAAATGTGGTATTTACCCTGTAAGTACAGGTAACAAGGAGGTAACAAGAGAGGAATAAAGCTTCACTTTAATTTACAACCCTCAAATGTGGTATTTACCCTGTAAGTACAGGTAACAAGGAGGTAACAAGAGAGGAACAAAGCTTCACTTTAATTTACAACCCTCAAATGTGGTATTTACCCTGTAAGTACAGGTAACAAGGGAGGAACAAAGCTTCACTTTAATTTACAACCCTCAAATGTGGTATTTACCCTGTAAGTACAGGGAACAAGGAGGTAACAAGTGAGGAACAAAGCTTCACTTTAATTTACAACCCTCAAATGTGGTATTTACCCTGTAAGTACAGGTAACAAGGGAGGAACAAAGCTTCACTTTAATTTACAACCCTCAAATGTGGTATTTACCCTGTAAGTACAGGGAACAAGGAGGTAACAAGTGAGGAACAAAGCTTCACTTTAATTTACAACCCTCAAATGTGGTATTTACCCTGTAAGTACAGGTAACAAGGAGGTAACAAGAGAGGAACAAAGCTTCACTTTAATTTACAACCCTCAAATGTGGTATTTACCCTGTAAGTACAGGGAACAAGGGAGGAACAAAGCTTCACTTTAATTTACAACCCTCAAATGTGGTATTTACCCTGTAAGTACAGGGAACAAGGAGGGAACAAATACTGTATTTACCCTTTAACTACAGGGAACAAAGAGGGAAGAAGCTGAACTTTAACATACTAGTGTATACTTGAACACTAAGAACAGAGTAAACTACAGCAGCAGTTTTTATTGTTTGAAGACCAAATTACTAGATTTTTCTATAAAGCATCAGCTATACATTTACTGAAATGCAACAGTTAGCCCCCCTGTGCAACAGCAGTAAAGATGCGAGCCTGTTTTAATCTGCATTGAACCCTGACGGTAGGCCTATATCATGCAAAGTTATTTGTTGATAGTGAGTGAGTTATGGAGACATTGATGGCTTTGGTGAGATCGACGAGTAAACATAAGGTAAGTAGTGTATGGAAATATATGTTATATTGAATTGCAGATTTAAAATACATACAGTATACAATAAGGGTTCATAATTTCACAGGTTGTAAACCTTTTATTCATTAAACACCCTATATAAAACCCAAGCACTGAATAAGAGTACTAATGTACTCACGCAGGTGCATATACAGTACATTTGCAGATAGCAATAGGTTGTCACCATCCTTGCATAATTCTTTATATGTATACAATACTTGAAGAAATGTACATCGTAAACTTAATATACTTCTTTGTGTGATGGATATCTTATTGTTACTCCCGTTTTACGCAAACATTATGGTTTGTTCTTTTGCAATTTAAAGAAAAGTACAACGTTATTTCACTGTACTTACGCGGTACCTTTTATGCTAAATATCTGGTTGTTATCCCCTTATTACCCGAGCATTACAGTTTGTTCCCTTATACTTACGTAAACGTTATTTATACTTACACTATAGGTACAGAAAAGTACACCGTTATTTCACTGTACTTACGCGGTCATTTTCGTGATGAACATCTGGTTGTTACCCCCTTTTTACCCAAGCATTACGGTTTGTTCCCTCATACCTACACATACGTTCATTATACTTACACAGTACGTACAGAAAAGTACACTGTAATTTCACTGTACTTACGCGGTACTTTGCGGGTTGTAAAAGAAAGCGTTACCAAACCATCTGTACACACTAAAGGTGTATCTTGACTTCATTTTGGACTCCCGTTTTGCTCAGCAGGCACTGGAAATAGCATACGCCATTGAAAATAATCAAACACGCCTAGAAATGTATCTGTCAGAGAAACTTGTACTTAATTATGGCACCCATGTCATCACAAGTGTTGATGCTGGAGCCACTTTGGTGCAAGAAGATTATTTAAAAAGGTCCTATGTCCCTGACAATCAGTCAGATTTGTCCTCTCTTTCTGCAGCAGCAGGCTTGAAGTTCTTCAACAATCTTAAATTTGATGTTGGTGGCAAGGGATCCCAAGACAACACTGCAGTTCAGGAATATCAGAGAATCGTTGCACATTCTGTAATGCTGAGTCATGGAGGAGCTTTATTCTATCCAGGCATTACTCTGCCTAAGTGGCAAGAGAGTACGCTCAATAATCTGGTTGCCATTGACCGTTCTGGGCTGCCGCTGCACTATTTTCTTAATCCATCAACATTCCCAGACCTCCCAACACAAACAGTTAAAAAACTGGCCTCATCAGTTCATCAAGCAATATAACGATACTATAAAGTGAACACCATTCCGGGTTGTGTAAATGTGGATTCCCCAAACTTCAACTTCCAGGCAAATGTAGACGATGCGTCTTGTGAGGGTCTGATCACCAATCTTAGCTTTGGTGGCATGTACCAAAGATGCACTCCATTGACATCAGATGGAGATGCCATCTGTGAAGAGGCAGCACAGAAAAACCCAGCCACTGGTGATTATTCTTGCCCTGAGCATTACAACACCACCTTGTTACACTCTGAGATAGTAGAACGCCAATATAAGGAAAGCTCAACACCTACTGAAGATTGTGGGTTTTTTAAGTGGTTTACTTGTCGTCACCAGAAAAGCGAATATATTACCCATGTCCATCAGGCAAAAGTGGACACTTACTGGTGTTTCACATTTCAGAAAACTCCAGAATACTCTGGCTACCTGTTTGGAGGTCTATATGGACCAGATTTACAAAACCCTCTGACCAAATCCAATAGCTGCCCACCAGACTATTTCACGCTAAAGTTCCTGCCTAATGGCATGAGGATTTGTCTGAGTAATGATTACGAGGCTGGAGCAAGATTCTCTGTACCTTTTGGAGGCTTCTTCAGCTGCTCTTTTGGCAATCCTGCAGCAAATAATCAGTTTCGCTGTCCACTTCAGTTCAGCCAACATCTCGCTGCCATTAGTGATGATTGTCAGGTTTTGTACTGTGTCCAGTCTGGTGTGTTCACTGGTGGCCTGTTAAAACCAGTCCTCCTTCCTCCATATACAAAACCACCAGTAGTCAGCATTTATGCAACAAAGCAGTAGCTCTAGTGACTTAAGGTGATTGTTTAAATGTAAGTGTTGGAAACTAAAGATGATGACACATGGGGCAACATTTAGAGCAATGTCCCAGATCAATTAAATGGAGACTGAAAGTGTACAGCAATGTAGTGGCGCAGTGAGTAGCACGTTCCCCTCACAGCAAGAAGATCGCTGGTTTGAGCCTTGGCTAGGTCAGCTGGCATTTCTGTTTGAAGTTTGCATGTTCTCCCTGTGTTTGCGTGGATTTCCTCTGGGTGCTCCGGTTTACCTTACAAGTCCAAAGATATTTGGTATAGATAAATTGGGTAAGTTAAATTGTTCGTAGTGTATGAGTGTGTGTGAATGAGTGTGTATGGCTATTTCCCAGTGATGTGTTGCGGCTGCAAGGGCATCCACTGTGTAAAACGTATGCTGGATAAGTTGGTGGTTCATTCCGCTGTGGCAACCCTGGACTAATAAAGGGACTGAGCCGAAAAGAAAAAGAATAAATGAATAAAAGTATAGAGTTGTTTCAGCCAGGTCTTTCAGTAACACACTGCATGAGAACATCCTGCATAAAACTACCAGATCCAAAAAGTATAAGTTTAAGATGCAATAAATCTGGTAAAACTGCATTGACTGTCCCACTTTAAATTAACTTTCCTTAATGAATATGTACTTACACTGAAATTAATCATTTGTTTTGATGTACTTATTGTGTAAATGCATGTTTTTACATTGAACGTATGATTGATTAAATACATGCATGTACTGTAATTACATCTGTCATTCATTTCTGAAATTACATCTTTAATTACACTATTGATCATCCCTTACACATTAATCCAACCCTTAAACCTACGCATACTACCAAACCTTTCTCTAACCAAACCCATATAACACATCAAAAGCACCAGATGTGTTTTGCAATGTAATATGAACATAGAAAGTACATAATATTTAAGAAAAGCGAGTCAATTATGAGATACATATTATAAACAGTGATGGCACAAATATACATCAAAAAGCATTTCATTATAAATATTTGGACAAATTTGTTTAAATAAAAAACATTACTGCTGAGGAAATGAAAACGCAAGTAATTTGAAAATACAACAACATTTACAAAATATGATTTCAGATGCAAGATGCTGTTAGATAAAGATAGGAAGTAGACTCCTTGGGCACATGTAATATTCTGAAACTTGGCTAGCAGTTAAATTGTACGCTTTGTTCGTAATTGATCATCACAGTTTGACATTATTATAATTATATATTTGTTAAATTTATAAATTGTTTTTAAATAAACTTTATGCAAACTGTGCCAGCCTCCAATTGATGTACTGCTGTAACTGGTATTCCTTTCTTCAGAAAATAAATGAATTAACCTATTTTACATCACTCTTAAGCAGGTCGCACACCAGAAGCGCCGCTCGGCGCCGCGACACGGCGCGTACATGACAGTTTAAAGCAGGTCGCACACCAGAAGCGCCGCTCGGCGCCGCGACACGGCGCGTACATGACAGTTTAAAGTATCACACACCAGACGCGCACATTCGAATGATATTTAACATGAAACTAATCAGATGGCGCTCTGTGGCGTGGCTGAAAAATGAACTGCGTCCTGAGCCGTCGCCGGGCGCCGCCGACAGCCGCCGACTTGCGGCGTCGGTGTGTGTATCCTGATAGAAACCTATGTTTAGAATTCTAAAATACATGGCGCTGCGTGGCGCTGCGCGGCGTGCGCCGAGCGGCGCTTCTGGTGTGCAACCTGCTTTAGGTTGTTGTGTCCTTCTGTTGGCTGGAAGAAAGAGCAAGCAAACAGTCAATATAGGCTCATTCTGAAAACGTAGCCCTACAAACATTTCTATAGATCGCGAAATATGAAGCAAGAAGTATGTATGACTAAATTTCATATTTAAAACGAATGATAGGCCGGTATGACGCTGTTCCTATATGAGCTTAACAGCTGGCTTTCCTGCTGTTACCAGTTTGTCCTATAAGTTTGTAGTGTACATCAACGGACTTGAGATGCAGAGGTGAGTTGGTTACAATGACAGGGTTTGAGTTTGCTGAAGAACGGTTCCAGAAAGCAGGTAAGACAAAAACAGAATCTAAAAAATAAAATAAACAAGTAAAAAAACAGGGTGAGAATGTGGTAAAATCTGAAAACATGTTAAAAATCAGGTGAGGGTTTTTTCTTCTTGAAAATGGTCAGTTGGTTTTAGTGAAGTGTGTGGGAGGGTCAATCAATACAATTTGTTGGGTTTAGGTAAGGAAGAGGGTGAGTTCATCAGCCAGCCAAACAGTCAGTCAACAGCAACCTCAAATTTGATATCTGAAAAAAGCGTACACAGTGGCCAGTGGTGGATTTACGAAAACAAAAACCTCAAAAAAAAAAAAAAAAACATGCCTCCAGGGTCATATTTGGAGGTCTCCAGATATTTACATAGAGGAATTTTTTTAGAATGAGCCTGGGTAGCAAATGGTAGTGTATAAAGACTAGGGGACTGAACACAAGGTGGTGCAGAGATTCAAATGGTTAAACAACAGAACAAATGTAAAATTTGTGATGCAATGTGTTTAAACAAGAAAAAGAAAAATGAAACTGAAAGCTGAACAGAACCAGAGGTGCAAACACAAGAGGAAACAAGAGAACGGAATTAGACATACGTGGTGATAATCCATAACTAGGCTAACAATAAAACAAGGCAGGCTATACTGGAAAGAAATATCGAAAACAAAGACACACAAACTCAGAAATCATCATGTCATGGATGGACCTGACAAGTTCCACTTCAAACTCTGTCAATGCAGAAGCTTCCTTTTATTCAGTGCTCAATGGAAAATTTTCTGCTGAACACCAGCGTATGAAGACTCACCAAGTGAAAGAGACTTTTAAATTTAAAAAGTAAATTTCAACTAATAGAGTTTTACCTGGTACTTATTGTAAAAAAAGCTCTTAAAACTATACATAAAGCCTCTACAATTCATATAATTAATGTCATTAATCAACAAGCAGAAGAAATTGCAGATGCTATTAAAAACAATCAAACACGTCTAGCAACTTACCTGTCAGAGAAACTCATTCTTGATTACGGCACTCATGTCATCACAAGTGTTGAGGCAGGTGCCAGTCTGGTGCAAGAAGATTATTTAAAAATGTCTTATATCCTGAAGAATCAGTTAGACTTGTCTTCGGTTTCTGCATCAGCAAGCTTTAACTTCTTTGACAAAGTTAAATTAGATCCCAGTTACAGTGGAGGCCAAAAAACGTCTCAAAATAGTTATTATCAGGGTAACATCACATACTCTTTAATTCAGAGCCACGGAGTGGCTGGGTCCCAGAAAATAGAAAAGAGAAGCCAAGTCTTTAGCTGAACCTGCTCAAGACTCTGCCAGCAAGAATCCAGGAACACCCTTGCCACAACATCCACTATTCATCAAAGGACGTTCCCTTGGACAATAGCTAATCTCCTCAGTTAACAACAAGTGCAAATCACACTAAAAACTAACGTGTGTCAAAAAAAAAAAAACATGCATACTATCTGAAGCATACTACACGTGCAGTAAAAAGTAACTCAAAGTATATGACATGCAAATCAGCAAGAACACATTATATAACACAAAAAAATTTGGAAAATTACCTAGAACAATAAAATGAACAATAAAAACAATGAAATATGGCTCCTACACCTCCAATCTCACAGCATGGAATGCATTCAAACACTTTCATACCCTTTACACAACACCTTTTCCCAATTTTACACCTTTACACCATTCATTACCCACATCCACTTCACTCCACCGAGAACAGGTAAGCCAGCTCTATTAAAAGCCAGTCCAACTCTAAAACCAACCTTCTTGTAAAAGGCATCCAAAAAATGCACCCCTACTTCCCAGATTCTAAGCTGCCCATCACCCTTAATATCCTCTCCGAATGCATTTCCACCCTCCGCAAAGGTTATCAGTGTAGCTGTACAGACAGCATTTTTTGGTTAGATCCTCCGAAATCACTATAATCTGTCATTTCAACCCAAGCATTGACCCCACCATCTCAGATTTAACTTTGTTTGATAAGGAAACTATTTCTTTCCTCATCAAGCAAAGCAGAACAGGTCAATCACTCAAACCACATTTCATTTACTTATTTAATCTTTCCTCCCTTACACATCCCATTCAAAGACTCCTGGCCTTTTTTTTTACATTTTAGGTCCCAAAATCCCAGTCCTCTTTCCCCCTAGTCATGGATGACACCAACCAGCCAGTAACACATTTCTGGTTTCAGAAATACCTTAAAGAAAACCTATATAGCTTCTTCCCTGACATCACTGTTCTTTCTCCCGTGACTGTAAGCAATTCAGTATTAGTGGGGGTCTAGTCCTCCACAAGAGGGCCATCAATTCCTGGTAATAATCTCTTTTTTAACAAACAAATGGTAGATCCTGTGTCTACCAGGGCGCTACAGGGCTGATCAACAACCACACAGTCCAGACCCAGTCCTCTGGGAGGTCTGCTGGCTGTGGGATATTACAAACGGTATTCTAGTTTTCTATCACTAGTATTACTATTCAGCTTAAATGCAATTTAAAGGCTTAACTAGCATAATTACATTGTATTGTTATATAACCAGGGTGTCACAGTGGCTCAATGGGCTCAGTGACCTCACAGTAAGAAGGTATTTGGTTTTAAGAAGGTCAGTTGGCATTTCTGTGTGGAGTTTGCATGTTCTCCTCGTGTTCGCGTGGGTTTCCTCCATGTGCTTCGGTTTTCCCTATAAGTCAAAAGGTGACTTGGGTATGCTAAATTGTCCGTAGTGTATGTGTGTGAATGAGAGTGTATGAATATTCCCCAGTCATGAGTTGCAACTTGCAGCTGGAAGGGCATCCACTGCGTAAAACATATGCTGGATAAATTGGTGGTTCATTTCACTGTGGCGACCCCTGATTAATAAAGGGACTAAGCTGAAAATGAATTAATAAATGAACAATTAGTCTATCAGGCTTTGTTGCTAAAAATAAAAA